ACGTAACCAGTTGTTTGAAGGGTTCACAACTGCTGGTTATGGGAATTTACCTATTGGTAAACAGTACTCAGTTTGGATTTTCTGTGGTGGAGTGAAATGCACAGTCAATACTACTCAATAATGTTGAGTTAGATGAAGTTCGAGTGTTAGGGAGATCCTTTATTGAATATGCACAGGAGTTTAAAAATTTCATTATGAACATGGGCTGTTTGTTTCTATCAAAATAAGCAGGAGTGCCCTGGCCGGTTTGGCTCAGTGGTTAGAGTGACGGCCCACAGACCGAAGAGTAAGGGGTTCAATTCCAGTTGGGGGCACGTACCTTGGTTGCAGTTTGATCCCCAGGCCTGTTTGAGGGCAACCAATCAGTGTGTCTCTCTTGCATTGATGTCCCCCCCCCCCCAGTCTATCTGAACATCAGTAGAAAAATGTCCTCAGGTGAGGATTAAAAATAAATAAATAAACAAAATAAGCAGGATTAATACAGTAAGTATACTGACAGTGAGGTCTTATCACTAACGTAGATCATCACACAGTCAACTAGATTCATAGACACACCTCCCTCACGGGTAACATGGGGACTAAATGCGATGTGTGTTTGCTTAACTTGGCTTGCTTCATAAATAATACTCAGTAAAGGTTAGCTATGTTCATCTGCTTTTGAGAGTTATTAGTTTCACCTTATAAAGTTATAAAGTTATTATTTTCACCTTATTCAGCATCTTATAAAAATGTCAAACCCATATAGGGACTCCCTTATCGTGGTCCCTTCGCCCTCAATCACCATAGTAAATCACAGTGAAAACTGGAGACTCGGTAGGGGACGTGGACCCAACAGGCATCTGGGCTCATTTTTATGATTTATAACTTTTTGAAAAGTGCAGGCTCTCTTAAAACTTCCAAGCTTATTGTTACAATATTTTCTTTATTTTTTTTTAAATAAATGCTTTCTGAAATGTATTGCAGGCGAACAAAGAACAGAATTGACAAATGTTGAAGTATTTTACAGTTATCTGAACACAAAGAATAAAGTATGATGAAATGTATGCACTTCAGGTGAGCTGTTTCCTACACCTCGCTCCTTTTACGGAAGCAGAGCCATTTGTTCTAATCACACGTTCTGTCTTCTGCTATGTTTTACCATTATCTATAAATTCAATAAATGGAGCATTCATATTTCAAAGTTCAGACTCAGGGAATCAAGACAACATATTAGAAAAGAAAAAAAGCAACAAATGTTAAGCCTCGTGTATTATTGTTTATATGACTAAGCATCATTTCCAATTCAAAAATACTTTTTTAAAGTGTCCCTTTAGAATGTACATTTTAAACTATCCAATTACAGAAAGCTTGCCTTCAGGCTACTCAGATTTGCAGAGGACTGGAACAGGTTGGAGGGATATACAAGATTAAAATATATCCTTTTAAAACCAAAAGAAACATACAAATGCATTTCTAATTCACATAGCCTATTTGCCTTTACACTCTGCTGATAAACACCAATTTTTAAACATTGTATATAAAATTAAATAACATGGAAAAATAAATTATACTTTATTAGATAAACACATAGAAATCTGTACTGCTCAAAATATTCAGATAATACTAGGCTTGGCTGCTTAAAGCTGCATTCAGAAAACACGGTAGTGATGTTTACAATCTTTATTTTTTGCTAGAGAGAGATTTAGTGAGGTGATAAAATAGCTGATGTCAAACATTTCCTCTTTCTACCTACCGGAGCTGCAAACTTGAATATGAAAATGAGGTAGACAAAATTTATAAGTTGGCCAGGCAGAAACAAAAGCATAGTTCCTTCATGAAATCATAAATTCTCATCGTTCGAGTCGACAAGCATTATTCCAAACCACCCAAAGCAAGGCTCAGGGAATACTCTAGGTTTGTCATGGAAGGCACAAATGAGCAATTTCTCCTACGCAGGACCACACCACAAGATGACCAGCTAGCAGACACGGGGCAATGTGGAAGCGGAATGCAATGGGACCAGCCTGGATGGGCGACATACTTTAATTATCTTGGTGAATCCGCTTACTCTAGAAGGCTGTGGATTTTTAACCTGCTTTGGGCTGCATTTGACAGTACTGAGACCCCTTTCCAATGCGTCCCTCTAGGCAGCGGGTGTGTGGGCTCCCCACACAGTCAGCTCCTGGGGCCGCAGCCCGCTGAAAGGCCTGCCAGTGGAAGAACCTAATTTCAAAACAAAACAGTACCACTAAGAGTGCAAGGACACATTAAAAAGAGGACAGAAAAGACTGAATTTTTGGAGGATGTTTCTTACAATCATGACTAAATCTACACTGACCTGAAGCAGAACTAAGGGTCTAAAACAGGTACTTGACCCCGGTGTTCGCAGGAGCTTCATTTTAGAGACTGAAAGCCGTGCTAACAGTGATTTGAAGTTTCTTTCCTCAATACTGCTCCTTAGTAACAACTGTTGAACTAGGCGGTCTCCATTTTGACCTTGGGAAGGCCTACTCACACAGCGGCCGCTGCTTCTGGCCACTCCCTCCAGCACAGGAGTGCGTGGGGACAGAAAGCAAGCGGCTGGAGGACCAATCGTTACCCCTGGTCTCTGATAAATCTAGTTTGCTTTCTGTTGAAAGCAACATGTTAGCACCTCAAATGTACTTTCGCTGTTGTTAATGTCACTGTCAGTTACAATGAAGCACTATAGAAGTGGCTTTATGGCTGTTCACACAGTTCACTGAGGTATACTTAAATTTAGAATTGCTATGAAATTATACCAAAACATCCACAAAAATCAACATACAAGTAAAATTAAAATTCTGCCGTAAGATTCTGAAAGACTGCCCTCACACAATATATTTACGTAATATATTACAAATGTATCTATTTAAATAAAATGCGTTTGATTTAATTTTTAAAAATCACAGTTAAAAGCCTTGAAGGAGTGGCCTCGCTCCTAGACTGCAGAGGTATTTAACTATATATTCGAATAACGACCACTTTACAAAGGAAGCTTAAAATTAAAGGCAGCAAAAAATATTTTTAAATATTTTAAAATCCATGTATTTGCTTCTGTGCATAACAGAGGATTAAAATCTCTTTTTCTGTGTGTTTCAGAAAACTCTGTGCAGGCCCAAGAAGAACAACTATAGTACAAAAAAAACAAAAACTTAAAAGTTTTCAGTTAAATTAAATGGTAGATCATATTTTAAAATTTAAGCTTTTAAGCGCTTAAAATATCTGGGGGAGAGGGGAGGGTGGTGATCCTGTGTAAAAAGAAAATTTGAGCTGTGTTTAGAAAGCATTCAATGAAAAGAATGCTATGAAAACCAACATATATTATGTACTGTATATGATATATATTGTATATATAAAGGGTGGGGCAAAAGTAGGTTTATAGTTATACGAAAGTTTATTCTTGTAATATTCTTTATTAATTATGGCATTATTTTCCATATGAACGACTGTAAACCTACTTTTGCCCCACCCTGTATATATACTATACAATATACAATAGATATTATATTATTGTATTGTATTATATTACGTATACACACACACACCCTCTGAGGATGAGGAGATGTTTTTTTGGCCAAATTAAAGACACACGACTTCTTAGAGCGCTGGCAGATTTTCTGAAACAACTTGGCTGTGGTGTTGCGGTTGGCTGAGTGAACAGGGTGAAACCGTAAGCAGCCCAAGAGGGACAAGGTCATGAAGAACAGGATGTAACAGGTGACTCAGGGGAGTGAAGAATGTCGGAGGATGTTCCTGACATTGCGGTTGTCTGACCCTTTCAGTGTTGGCCTGGGCGGGGCCAGCGCGGGGGCGGGGCCAGCGCCGCAGGGGTGGGGAGGGGGGGCCCAGGTGGACGCACCCGCCCTGGCACTTCTGAAGCTCTCGAGGAAAATCCTTACAGCCCAGCTAACGAGTGCCAGCTGACACAGTCCTCTAACTCCTAGATTTCTACTTAAGGCCAAGGTGTGGTTGTATGGCTAGTGTTCTGCCTGCACACACAACCTGAAACCCTGACATCCTGACTGACAGAAGTGCCGACGGGTCTGAGCCAAGTCGTGTAAGTCCGTCTACTCTTTAGCTGGTTCCAGGAATGGGCAAGACTTTTCCTAAGACCATATAAAAGAAGTTCTGGATATGACTTAATATAATTTCAGCTTCAGTGCAATTAATGTGTTTACAGGAATGTTTTGTACTTTTACTTGCAACAGCCCTAATGGCTCCACAAGTTACCGCACGACTCAGCCAAAGTGCTGGTCTGACAGAGCTGACGCTTCTGTGTGCCAAGAGCTGCCAGACGTCTGCCTGGCCTGGGGCGGCAACCTGTCGCACACTGAGCCGGGCAGACAGCGAAGGAAGCCTGAGTGCGGGGCCAGCAGTGGTCCCAGACGGGCTCCCTGTCCTCGCGGAAGAAAGGGGACATTTCAGACACAGTGAAAAGCACAGGTGGCGGAGTCCACTGTTGGTCTTTGGAATGTTCCAAATGCTTTCAGGCTACTTTATGGGCATAGCCTTGAGGTGACTGTGTTGAGAGGTGTACCTAGTTAGGCACCTTACAGTCACTGAAGCAAACGCTGCTTGGGCCCCAATAAGCAGGTGTCTTCCCCAAAGTCACAACCACCACAGACAGGAAAAGGAAAGTGCACCAGTTATTGAGTTGTCTGCTTAAACCACTTTGGAGCTTAATAACTACTTTAAGTTACTTAGTTTCTTTAAAAAAAAAATCCAAATATATATAGTCTAGTTCTTCTAGGAAAGGAAGCTACTCTCAGCATTGGCACCAGGCCTGGATGAGGTACATGTACTCTGTAAAGTCACTTTGGCAATATCATAAAAAATCAATTCTGTTGTATATCAATATGAAGAAAATAATATTCTGCTTATCACACAGTTTCAGGAATGTCCTTGTGAGCAGGACAGCTGTCTGTCGCGGAGGAGAGCCCCAGAACAAGGAATTGGGAATATTAGCTAGAGTCTGGCTAACGAAATAGTTAGGGCCGTACCGGGCTCCAAGGGCCAGTGCTCCAGGCAGCGTCTTGAGGACACACGTGCGTGTTACACTGCTCACGATCCACCGGCTTGTCAGGGACCTCACAGCTCAGGTCTGGGAACCGCTCACCGCTGGGTCGCTGGCAGACCACCAGTCTTGTTCGCAAGCCTCCACCACACAGCTTAGAGCACTGCAGAAACCGAAAGGAAGGCTCCAGTTATTTCACCTGAACAGCCAATGGCAAGTTTTCTTTTCCCATAAGAAATATTTCTTAACCAGACTCTATCACCGCACAGGGCAAGGTCTGTCCCTACACAGAACCGCGCTGAGTTACCACAGGAGTACCTACAACAGGCCAGCACTCTACCTCTGGTAGGTGTTGTCTACTGAGCCTTCCTCCTCACCTGCCCTAGGTGCTCTAAACATGATCTCATCATGGACAGAGAATAATTATTTGCCCTATTTTGTATATGGGGCAACTAAGTTTAAAAGGGGCTAATTAACTAGATCAAGATCAAGTTAATAGCAAGTGTTTAGGATGAGATTACAGTACACAAAATCCAAAATCAAATAGCTACAAAACCACCCCGTACTACATAAAGGAAATAATGACTTAGCCAGTTTTATTTCCTGGCAACTTCTAAGAAGCTGTCGCCAATCTTTGGCTATTCTGTGACTCCAATCTTCATAGACCTTTATGATATCGAGATATTTTACGTTATCTTCAAATCTCTGAATAACTATGACTTTCCTTGAGGATGAATAAACAGTGTGATGGGAACATTAGATCAAGTTCTGACTCCTGGCTAGATCCAAACTTCTGAGGCAGGAACAAGTTGTATTTCTTGGACAGAACTGCTGTGCTCACATCCAGGAACACTGACATTCGCTTTCCCTGCTGTGTCAGGCCAGCTCCCCCACAGAAATTGGAATGATCTGGTCTGTGCTGACAGCAAGCATCCTTGTGAATACGTGCACTCTCCTGGCTCCGATCCAATTACAGAAGCTTAATTACGGGTCCCACAGGACACAACTTTTTGAGGAGTTTTGGGAAAACCATAATACATGATCTCAAAGCCTGACTCCCCTTCCTGCCTCTCAGCCAAGCCCTCGAGAATGACGCACTGTCAACGAAAGTCAACAAAAATCTCCGTTAAAACTGCCTATGACCACTGGGCTACGTGTATGAGACTGAATGTGGACACATGACTTCAGTTAGCCAGGAGTGGGCACTGATGTGCCCAACCACTTCATTTGTCTTTCCCCCTCTTGGCACTGGGGTCTCCAAGATGTTAATCCTCATGTTTATTTTATAAATTTTACAGTCAAGACAGAACAACTCAAGAAGCTTTATATATGTGATCTCCCTGTAAATTCAAGAATAGAGAGATATATTCTTGGTTAATTAAACATAAAACAATAAGTATAGGAGCCCTATATGTAATAGTGGCTCTAAAGCCCATTTAATAATGATAGTAATACTAATGCTAATAATTATTATTACGACTAATGATCATTTTTATCATAGTAGTTAACTTTGATCGAAGGCTATGTGGTAGGTATTTGACATGCACTATCTCAAATAATCGTCATGAATACTATGAAGTATTTATCATCCCCATTTGGAGAAGAGGAGACAGACGTTTGGAAGTTACAGGGCTGGGCATGGTATCCAGTTTTCTCTGGTCCAAATACTCTATTGCCCTTCATCAGTCATAGTAGGCAACTCTTCAGAAGATCTAATAGGTAACAGCTGAAGAATTTCATTATTTGAGAATATACAGCTAATTATTCACTTCCATGTTTAAAACAAGTCACTTTGATAACACCTATTCATTCTGTTTTTATCAGGGGTTTGGAATAATGGGAGACATTATGCCACAGAATAAGAGTATATCACAAACACTCCAACACTATGAAGAACATGGCAAAATTTCCATTGACTAATTTTATACATATTTTCAATCACTTTTTTAAAAACCTCCATTTTGTTTTAACCAGTAGAGGTTACAATTTAAATTAGCATTTATCTGCATTCTTTCCTAATTTTCCTCACGTGGGTAATCAAGCTGTCTATAATTGATCAAAAATGCACTTTTAAATTAGTTAATCCCAAATCAAGAAGTATTTAACTGGAGCTAATTTTTCTTCCTTCAAATAAACTATGAACAATAACACAGTTCAGTCAGCAAAATGACTCCTTGTTTTTCCAAAGCATGTACAAATGGACTTTCTTCTCACCTCTCCCCAGTTACCATACGCCCATTGGGGACATGGGCCAGACTCGCAGGCTCTTTGCTCATCAGGTTTGATTCTCTCCACACAGTCACTTGCGGTGTATCCGTTCTCGTCCTGACACACAACAACCCGCCGCTGGGACCCGCCAGCACAGGTGCTAGAACACTGAACACATTAGACCTCAGTCAACAGGTTTGTTCCCACCTCCATCTCCATCTTAGGGTCACAACAAATAGCGATCGAAAGTCAGAGACAAATGCGCAGAAATCATTCACAATGAACAGAAAGCAATTGTAAGAACTTTCCTTCCGTGGGGTTGTTTAATGTACAAGACTTAAAACAAAAACCCCGAGGGCAGAAACGTGGCTTCTCCTTTGCATACCTTGGGCCTTGAGTAGGTGTTCAATAAACGTCTAGTGTAGGTGTTCAATAAACGTCTAATGAATGATAACATGTTGGGATTTCAAAGCAGCCCTATTTACAGCCTCCTTTACCTTCTCTCGGGCTCTGAGAGGTACACAGGTGTTGACTGACAACACAGTCTGTTGAGAAAGTCTTTTCAAAACACCGAGTGCTTATTTAGAACCTTCATGTGACTTCCCTTTTAACACAGGAGTCAAATTACATGCTTAATGCATAGCCAGTCATTGCAATTAAGCTTTCATAGTAACACATTCACTTACATGAAACGCCACTTAGACATCATCTTCTCAGAGGTAATGTTCCTGTCTCTCTCTTCACAATAGGGTCTACTGCAGTGGCTGGTGGTAGTAAGATTTGTTTTCTTTCTTATTTATATTTCCCAATGAACTTCACTGAATTCCATATGGACAAACCTCTGTGGACAGAGGTTCAGTCTAGCACTCCCTCTCATGGTTGTTCACAAAATTATGTTTGCATTGCAGCCAATTTCCCACACGAGCTTCTCATAGCTCTCTTATTTATCTACATCTTGAGTGTTTTTTTCTTTCCATAACTTCGTTATCTTTTGAAACCCAATGTGTTTGCTAGGGTCCTTCACTCTGACCCCCTAACAGTTCGCCTACATAATAACCATCTAGTTCTCAAAGCAAAGCAATTCCCATGAGTTATCATCTCAAAAATGCATTTGCAATGAGGTTTTGAGTTCTGGGTTCTGATGGCTGATTGGTGCTTTCCATCATACCTCACACACCTGTGTTATTTCAAAATACCTGCAAATACTGCTTCTCGCTGGTCAGCCTTTTCCATATAATGTCATGAATACATTTTGCTTATTACACTGGACCTCAGTTCAATTTCCCTACCTATGCTTGTCATATTATGAGTGGTTTAAAAACAGACTGGGTTTAATTTTAAAATATGCATAGCACAAGAATACAGATTTATGAATTCTAAGAAAATGTTTAAGTAATTTTTGATTTAGGTAAATTATGAATATTTTAAAATATTCCATCCACCTCTCTTCTCAGATAGCTCTGGTATACTTACTCTAAACTTGAAAATATTTGTTTTCTACTTTTGAAACATCTTGGTCAATAATAAAAAACACAGAGAACTATCATCTTAATCGGTTTTGTTCGGGAACCAGAATTTAAAATGTTTGTAAGGCTCTTCCGTGTTATAAAGATTTGGAATATATATTTTGGTCCTCGGATTTTCCCCTTCATAATAAAATCTTGTATTACTCTTTTATTATGTCTCCTGTGAGATTCTGGCCCCCAAAGTGGTAACTCCTTGAGGGGGGCTCAGTGTCATAACTCGTGTCCCTGTCACTCACGCCCACAGCGCGCTCACAGGGTTTAAGATCTGGTCCCATGAAAGTGTCCGGAAGCAGCAGCTCTATAAACCACATGCCACCCTCTCCTCAATATGACCAATTGGAATAGGATGGATACCTGATCCAATGCCAACCAATCCACGGATGCCCACTGACCAGCAGATGCTTCCTCCTGAGGCTCTGACCACGAAGGTGGAGACAGTGCTCAGCTGGGGCCAAGCAACTGAACTGCACGGCCCTGAAACTGCACTGCACAGCTCTGAACCAGGGTCGGCCGGGGCCCTTTGCCTCCCACACACAGGTGAAGTGTTATACCTGATCAATGCCTATGTTGCAGAATTTCACTCTGCATCTCTTTGTCAACAATTTTCATATTCTCTCTAGATGACATATTTTTCCAGCTAGACATTTCTTTTAACAAAACCTGTCCCTCTCGTCCCCAGTGGCCAAAACAAGGGAAAATGGCCTTTAGAGAAGGAGGTAATGAACACCTGTTTTTCTCACCTGCCTCACATACATCTGGTAGCCCAATTCTCCTGTGAGGAACCTGTCCTTCCCAAGGGATGCCACTTTGCTGGGACTATCTGTTAAGATACTCTGCCATTCCCTGGTCAAGGCATGGGCAGCTGGAATAAGCTGGACCAATCAGACTTGCGTTGGAATTTGAATCCTAAGTAGAGTAACTCAAGGGTGGTTCAGAGATGAAAGGGATTCATTAAGACAGAAACTCCTTAAAGAAGTTTTCCTTTAGTTACGGCTCCATCTAGATCAGTATTGGCAAACCACAGCCTGGGGGCTAAATTTGGCCTGCCATCTGTGTTTATAAATAAAGTTTTATTGAAACACAGCCATTCGTGCTTTTGTGCTGCTACAACAGCAGAGCTGGTTAGCTGTGTCAGAGACTATACGGTCCACACAGATAAAAATGTTTACTATCTGTCCCTTTGCAGAAGAACACTGCCAAGCCCTGGAGTAGATCCCTAAAGATGTACTGGGCTAAATGAATGCTTTCACTTGAAAGAATCGGTTTCTTTTCTTTTGCTTGCAACCAGAGGCCCTTAATTAATAACACACAGAAAACCTTATACAGCGTTTAAGTTTACACAGAAATCTGCTGTACGCTGCGGTTCCTACTCCAAATCCGGTGTAAATTTGACATCCCCTTCTCTAGTGTTTGTGATTCTTTGCTGCCTTTCCTGCCACGGGAGGCAGGCGGGCCCCATGCAAGGACGCACGTACATCCCGCACGCTCCGGGGTAGGTCAGGCGTCACAAGCGAGGCCTGGAAAATCACATTGTGCCACTTCAGCCTCACTTAACTTAGAAAAAATATCCCAAACACAAAACAGGCACAATGGGGGAAAGAATGGTGTTGCCCATTGCTGCAAAAAGGTTACCTAATCCTCCCTAATTGGGAGCTCTGCCCAGGGCAGATTCATTCAGTCTTAAAGGAATGCATCGTTCCCAAAAGCAGTTCTAAATAAGAACGGCTTTAAAATGGGTTTCAAAAACGTTCTAGCGCTGTCATTAGAGCACACATATGAGACTTCTGTTTGTTTTTCAATCCGCGAAATGGCGGGACACCCAGTGATTACCTCCCTTAGTCACCCTTTGATTTCTCAGAACCAAAATCTCTTCTGAGCCAATGAAGGAAGACAAAGCAGGAAGCAAGCCAGGGAGGGAGATGGCAAAGGTCCCAGCGCTTGGCAGATGCTCAGCCGACACTCGCAAACGCGCAGCGCTACTCAGAATTCCCAGGAAAGTCAGTGTGATTTACTGAAACAACCATGTGAGAAACAGCCAGCCTCCTTCTAATCCTTTTTAGTCCAGAAATAATTAAACACAATTAGCAGTACTAGAAAGAAATGGTTAGTAAATAATTAAAAAGAAGACCCTGGAGTGATGAGTAAACCCGAACCCCGCAGGCCAACGCTCCTCCCCCCAGCAGTATCCACCATGTAGCTGTTTTTTGGGAAAATTATTTAGTAAAATATCAGAAACATTCAAAAGCATATTTTTCCTTTGAAGGTTGAATATGTTTCAAGGTCTTCCTAATCTGAAGGACAATGATAATGATAAAGATTATTGCAGACATCTGGTAAGGTCTCGCTCTGTGGCAGGCAGAGAGCCAAGCACGTTATTTGCATCACTGCATTGAATTCTTACAACCCAGAAAAGCCAGCATTATGGTTCACTTCGTTCTACAGATGAGGAAACTGAGGCTCGAAGAGTGTGGTACTTGCCCCTATGCACAGAATTTACCTAGCCTCGTGTGCCCCTCCCCCACCCAGGACAAGAATCCACTGCAATAAATTGCACAGCAAGCTCACCCTTTGACACTGCACTCCTCTGGGAAACAGCGAGAAGAAAAATGACGTTCCTTAAGAGCTCCCTTTCAGAAACATTCTTCTGCTCTTTCATTTCCCTCCATAAGAATCGCCAGGGCTGCCTCCAGGCTCACTCACCACGGCCTTCACAGCGCCGTCCAGGAGGCCACCTGCCCACGTCACCCAGCAGTGACCCCCTTCTCCACCCAGTGAAGGGAGCTGACAGGTGCATGCAGACAGCACTCTGTGACACCTTCCCAGGGACTGCCATTAACCCACTGCCAGTCACCCCAAAACAAGTGAGAATGCATGTCAGTCCCTTGTGAGAAAAAATGCTCCAAAGGTGTTTCTAGTCGATCCCCACCCCCACCCCACCCAATGCAAATCAGAACAGCCCTCAGTAAATACTCACTGCTCCCCAGGGGCCAGTCCTCCACTGGTTTCCACCGAGCACATGGGTCTGGCTCGGGCCGGGGCTCCTGGGGTGATAGCCCACATTCTGGAAAGGGTGCTGAGCAAGGCCACGGTCTGGGGTCTGCCGAGAGCAGGGTGGCATGGAACAGTCCTGGTCGGTTTCTGGGATGTAATCTGGGTCACACTTGCTCTGATCGATCACATGGTCACTGTAGTTGACACATACCACTTGCCGGCTTGTCCTACCTTGCCCACACGTCACAGAACACTGTGGGGAATGTTCAGAAAGAGAAGGGTCAGTCATTCAGCAGCCATAAATTCATGAATGTGCACTTTTTGTAAACTGTCCACCACTCACCTAGTGGATCAGGTCAAAACCTTGGTGTTATCCTTGCCTCCTCCCTTTTCTTTCCACCCCACAGCCAATCACCGAGAAATCGTGTCAGCTCGAGGGTCAAACACGCTGTCAGCCCAGCTACTTCTCACCACCGCATCGCCTCCAGCCCAAGCCGCACCGCCCTTGCCGGGACTCCTGCACTAGCCTTTCGTGTGGGCTCCTGCTTATAACCTTCAACTGCACCCAAGTCTGCCATCGTCATATCACAGGGTGACCCTTGCAAAAGAGTCAGATTATGTCATCCCCTCAGTGACTCCTCAGTTTCTAGTCTCGGCAGCTGGCAAATCTCATCTACGTACCTTTTCCACAAGTGGCTGAGCACCGGGTGTTGGAGCAAAATCATGTCAAAATGTTAACTGAATCGGTCGTCAACCGGACAGTAATCCACTTCCTATGGCCATGTCAGAGAACATCTTTCTTCCCTTTAGACATTATTCAGTGTCTGAAGTCCTTACTTGCACCGGTAGACCCTTAATGATATGACCACTGGCTGTCTCTCTGACTCGCCTCCCATCTCCCTCCCTCACTGTGTCCAGCCACACCGGCCTGCTGGACGTGCCGTCGGCCTGAGGAGCACACGTCTCAGGCCTGTGCGTCTGCTGCTCCTCCTGCCGCACCGCGAATACCCCGTGGCCTCTCCCGCACTTCAGTTAGCCCTGCTCAGCCAGTGTCCGTCCTCCTCCACTTCCTGCCTGAGAGCACATCCCGTCGCTCTCCACGCCATTACTCGCCGAACTTTCCCTGGTACGTAGTGCCTCTTCCTATTTCTTTTATTTTCTCAGTGACTGGAATCTCCATCGGAATAGCCTCCATGAAGGCAAGGACTTCATTCTTAGTTGTTCACTGCTCTTCGTACAGTGAGCTTGAACAAACAGCTGGCGAGTAAACAGCTGGACCTGATGCATGTGTGCATGTATGCACGTATGTACGCATGTAGGTTTGGAGAATGGGATTGTCTACCATTTACTGAGCACCTACTTTGTGCTAAATATTTAACATATATAATCTCAAATAACCCCTAGAACACCCTTGAAGGTAGGTATTTTTTTGGTTTTCTTTGAAGAGCAGAAGAAACTAAGGCTCAAGGACTTGAACCAGCTCAAGGTCATGCAGCAGTAAATGTCAATCAAAGTCTGAGTGTCTACACAGCTCTGTTTGATCTGCCTCGCACATTTTATATGCATGTTATGACACCTACTGACATACCAGTCTCCACTTTCCTTATGACGTCTCCTCACTTATCCTAAGTTTTGTATTTCCTGGACTCTGGTTTGGACAAGGCAGAAAGCAGAAACTTCCCGAAGAGAAAGGCGTTTCCACTTTAATGACTCCGGTGGATGGTGCTTGGTGCACACAGGGGCCAGCTCCCCAGCGCTGGATGAGGGTTCTCCCCTCTTACTCTTGGCAAGGAAGCCGAGAGCCACTGGACTTCAAGGGGCCCCAGGAGGCAGGAGGCACCCAGACCCAAGGCGAAAGGCCAGCTCCTTACTCCTCCCTGTACCTCTGCAACCTGTGATACCATGCACACCTAACACCATCGGACGTCACTGGTTTTCTAATCAGTCCAACAGGAGAGGGGTTTAGTAGACTATACACTGATTTACATTTTTTAAAAATACACATTTCTTGTACATCTGGCTAAGATTTATACCAGCTGCACCTATACAGAGCACAAATTAAAACCTAATCTTAGTCCGATTCTAAAGTATTACCCGTCGACCCTGGGACCTGCTACTGGTCATCCCCCTACTGCACCCCAGCCCTCTCCTAATCCCAGAGAATTCAGTCTCTTACAGGGCTCCAGTCTGACGCCTTCCACTGGCCACAGGGGGTCACAGAACATTCCTCCTCAGCCGCAGGTCTGGGCAGGGCTGCACAGGCGCTCTCATCAGCCACGGAGCCGTCCTCGTCCCAGCAGCTGACATACCTCATCCGGGTACCCTTCCCACAAGTGGCTGAGCACTGGAGGAAATCATGTAGAAATGTTATTAGAATTGGTCGCTAACTGGACAGCAATCCACTTCCTATGGTCCTATCAGAGAACAACTTTCTCCCCTCCCACCCCCTCAACTTCTACCCTTCTGTTTCTTACTGGAGTCCAAGACCCAAATCGCCACGTGGTTCTTGGCGCGCTGTGTACGTTCCTCCTTGCTTCTGGGACAGCCGGGGGAGGGTGACAAGATGGCAGTGCACAGTCCTAGATGTGAGAAGGGGAAAGCCAGTCATGTACACTTTCACAGTCACAGCATATACAAATAGAGGAATGAAAAATTCTAAGACCACAGATTTGTGTGTGAGTTTTGGGCAAGTAACATGATCTCTCAGCCCCAATTTCTTTTACATTTTTTTTTTCCTGTAATTGATTTGGAGACAAAGGGAAAGGGAGAGAGAAAGAAAGAGAGAGCAACATCGGTGTGAAAAGGTCGAATGGCTGACCGGCAATTGAATCTGTAACCGAGGCATGTGCCTTGACCAGGAATTGAACCCATGACCTTTCAGTGTACGGGAAATGCTCCAAGCAACTGCGCTACACTGGCCAAGGCCAGCCCCAGTTTCTTTAACTGTAAATGGAATATGATCTGAGTCACTCCGTGGGAGCCTTGATATAGGGCAGGGGTATACTTAATGATTTTTAATATCACATTTATTTACCTGTTCATACAGAAAGAGAGAAAATATTATAAATGGCAGATAAGTTGGGAAAGAGCAGAATCTCCTTTTAAATGATCCACTGTTAATTTTTTTAAATTCTGGAGGCCAAACTCTGTTCTCAAATTTTAATTAGTTTGTTAATCAGAATTCGCTGATCATGAACTAATTTGCTTTCCAAGTTTACTTAAAGATAACTCCTGAAGCCCAAATCGAGATATAAGAGGTATATTCCATATCCCAATGCCGAAATTTATATAACACCTCCCAGTCAACCAGAGAAAAATCCCTATGATGAATAAGGCCATCCGCGTGTAGATAATATTCCAAGATTTACAAAGGAGAAAACCAAATTACACACCTGCTCACAATCATTTCCAGCCGCAGTGGTTAGCACATATTCTTTGGTTATACACATGTCTATAAAATACCTAAGAGGTACAGGGCACGGCATAAGGTTCTAGGAGAATGACGCTTTCTTGCCTTTAGGGAGCTTACAACCCGAGTGGGACATTCTGTTACTTGGCTCCAGATCTCACCTATTCTTCTGCCCATGGTCCAAAGAGAGCCATACAGAGAAGAAATGAGTCGTGTGCTACAACTGTGGGGCTGCCTGCTGGTCCAGTTTAGACAGAGAAACACGTTCTGAATCTCCTAGGGGGTTGCTAAGTCCTTATTTCATGACTGCTCAGATGTAACAGCTAACATTTCATCGGCATTTTAAATATAGTGGTTTGAAATATTTCAGTAAAGTAATAAAAATAAAGATGACACAACTCTCCCTACATACTCACCTATGAGAAGACTTCAATTTTGACTGAACCACTGGGAAGTGTTGGCAGCTCAGTGCCCAAAGCCAATAACCAAGCTGAACAAAGGAGATTACCTGGGTCTCAGTTGGTCTAGTTGCCGCACTGCAGACCTTGTCATCTACCACGGACATGTAAGTCTCGATGACGCATTTCACTGCTCTCAGCTGGTATCCCTGTCCACAAGTGACACTGCACTGGGGGGAGGAATAAAACAAAAGCAGTTCAGCAACATTTCTCTTTCCCCATAACATTCTACAAGAGAAAAAATATTTCCATCATTGTGGGCCAGAGGGTAGGCACCCAAAGAAATTAGGTAAAAGTAGGCAGCCTGCTCTGTACAAATTATACTGATCAACCATCACTATAACACTTGAAATTATTTCTACCGCCACTGAAATTATATTTGTAGAAGTTCAGTTCTTTAACTGTGAATCCATGGAAGAAGGAGAGAGAGTACATTTCAATCATTTTTATGTCTTTCACACTATAGCTACCAGAACAATGAACAAGAATATGGTGGGTCCTCAAAAAATTTAACATAGAATTGCCATATAGCCCAGCAATTCTACTTGTAGGTATATATCCGAAAGAATTGAAAGCAGTCTCAAAGAGATAATATACTCACATGTTCATAGCAGCATTATTCTCAATAGCCAAAAGGTAAAAGCAAACCAAGTGTCCATCAACAGATGAATGCATAAACAGAGGGTGATATATACATACAATGGATTATTATTCAGCCTTAACAATCTTATAAAGAAAATTCTGACATCAGCTGCAACATGAATAAACCATAAGGGTATTATGTAAATAAAATAACCCAGTCCCAAAAGGACAAATACTATATGATTCTACTTCTAAGAGGTACCCAGAGTAGTCAAATTCACAGAGACAGAAAGTAGAATGGTGGTTGATAGGGGCTGCGTGGAGGGCAAGTGGGCAGTTATTTAATGAGTAGAACTGTTTCTTTTTTATTTAATCCTCACCCAAGGATATGTTTTTATTGATGAGAGAGAGAGAGAGAGGGAGAAACATTGATGTGAGAAAGAAACATCAAATGATTGCCTCCCTAATGCACTCCGACTGGGGATTGAACCCGCGACCTTTCGGTGTAAGGGATGACCCTCTAAAGGAGTAAAGTTTTGTTTTGCAAGATGAAAAGTTCTGGATAGTGGTTGCACAACAATGTAAATATATTTAACACTATTGAATTATACACTTAAAAATGGTTAGGATGGGCCCTGGCCAGTTTGGCTCAGCGGTTGGAGCGTGGGCCTGTGGACCACAGAGTCCTGGGTTTGGTTCCTGCTTGGGGCACATATCAAAAAAAAGAAAGAAAGAAAGAAAAAGGTTAGGATGATAAATTTTAATTTATCTATATTTTACCAAAATTACATAATTTTTAAACAATGAGCAAAGGACTTGAATAAGCATTTCTCCAAAGAAGTTATATAAAAGGCCAACAAGCATGTGAAAAGATGGTCAACAAGTTCTTAGGGGAATACAATCGAAACCTCAGGAGGGTCATAATAAAAAGAGAAAGTAAGAAGTGTTGGCAGGGACGTGGATAAACTGGAACAGTGCAACGCCTGTGTATTGCTGGTAGAAGTGTAAAGGGTGTGTGTGGGTTCTTCGGTAAACTAGTAGTTAAAAAGTTAAACATAGAATGATCATATGACCCATCAACACCACTCTTGGGTCTTTCAATTCCAAAAGAATTGAAATCGGGTACTAAAAAGAACACTGATACATAAATAGTCATAGCAGCACTATTTACAATCACCAAATGTCCAGTGGAGGTGACCGGATAAACAAATGTGGTATAGCCACACAATGGATAACTACACAGCCATAAAAAGGAACAAAGTAAAGAGGTGTGCTACAACATGGATGAACGCTGAAAAGTATGCTACGTGAAAGAGCCAGACACAAGAGGTCCCATATTGCGTGATTCCATTTATACGAAATACTTAGAATAAATAAATGCATGGAGGCAGAAAGCAGACTGTGGGCTGCAGGGGCGACAGGGGAGAGTCACCGGGAGTCACTCCGTAATGAGTGTTCTGGGGGGTGGAAATGTTTTAGGACTGGACAGAGATAGCGCTTGCACATTATGAATGTGCTAAATGACACTTTGACATGGTTAATTTCGTACATGAGTTTCACTTCAATTAAGAAAAACAAAGTCTAATCTTAATATCAGTTTAAAATATTATAAGAAAATCATACCCATATTAATACTAATAATCTCTGCAGTATAGAGTTAGAAGTATGTTCGATTTTCTTTTTGCTAACTTCAAGTTAGCCAACTTTTTCTTATGAACAGGCATCACTCTTAAATAATATTTTTAAAAACAACTGGTTCTGAATTGCACGTTCAGGCAAAGGAAGAACAAATCTCTGGCCAGGATTGGTCTGGTGTGGACGGGGGTAGAAATGTGTCCAGCAGTCCTGAGAGACGCTCTGTTCCTGTTTTATCAGTGACCCGAGCTGTGCATCTTCCCTCTCACTGTCCCTGAAAGTTATGCGGATGGAGACAGAGAGGAGGCCAGAGCAGAAGTGTGCGTGCACTCTCTGTGTGCAGAGAGATCGGCCCTCTGGAGGGGACGCCGTGCAACGGGGAGGATTCGGAAGAGTGTCCGCGCCAACGACAGAGATCGCAGGCACACTGGAAGCGGAGAGCACGCTAGAGGAGTGACGTGGCTGAAGCTGTGACTGCACAGGGTGCAGGGAGGGTCATTCTTCAAGATATTACAAAAGTGACAGCAGACCGCTGAATAGGTCTAGTCAAGAGCTAACATCTACAGACTGGGGGACTCGAAAAAGATTCTTGCAAAGCAAGAGGATTCTTCACCTTTGATCTAATTAATCTGTTTGAAGAGTGTGACTTATTTATGTGAGGTGAGCTTTGGAAATAAGACACTGGGAGCCAAAACATCCCATCCAAATCCCAATCCAGACCCTCCTGCCAAAGACACTGGGGCTGGATCCCACTTCCTGTAACAGACACACAGGCCACACTAGAAGGTGACGTCAGCCAGACTCCAGACCTGCTATGAAGTGTTCAAATGCCTGGGTCTCAATCTAGTTTTAGCCCAAGCTGCAGGAGGGCCAGCGGCAACCCCAGCAAGTGGGGTGAACGGGTGGCCGAGTTTCTCCTGCCTGACGCAGAGCCCGAAGTCACAGCGCAGCCGCAGGCCCCGTGGAGGCCCTGCTGCTGGAATGCCTGGCGGTAAGCCCTCTCCAGATAAAAAGAAAAGAATGTAGTTAAGAACTTTATCAGTCAAAATACCTGTCCCCAGGGACCCGCCTGCCAGGACGCACATTCTGGCTGCTGACAGGTCTGCATGGAAGCTGGCTTGGTCTCAGGGTCACAGACTCCATCGTTTAATCGATCTTCACCGAACTGACACCAGACCTGACGGTGCTGGTGCCCTTTCCCACAGGTGACCAAGCACTGTAACGAAAGCACGGACAGTCACGCTCATTCTCCACAGCATTTGGTGGGCCCGGGGCCGTTTGTGAAAGAGGAACTGGTGTGCTCTTGGCCCACAGCAACTCCTCTCTCACAGCAATTTGTAAAAGGATCAAGGCTCATTCATTCATTCATGCATGCATGCATTCATTCATTCTGTATTTATACCAATTCTGGCCCAGTTTCAAGCACAGAAGAATCTCGACACAGCACCATGCTCTGAAATACTGAAAAACAGTGTTCATAGTTTTCTAGAATAGGAGTTAAGTGTGGGGAATTTATGAGTCAGACGAATCTGGCTTCTAATCCAGAGGTCATGACCTCTCTATACCCCAGTTTTCTCATCTGCATCATGGGGACAATAGTGCCTACTGCAAAGAACTGTTAAAACTAAATGAAAACAATCCAAGTAAAGTGCTTGCAACATGTTCATCTAATAAATGTTAAATATAATCATCAGCTATGCTCATTGTAAAAAAACTTGAAAAATATAGGGAAACATAAAAGAGAAATCTATAGTGATCCAAAAATCTCACTACCCAGGGATAATCATTAACTACTGCTATTTTCTTCCCAGTCTGTTTATCTGTGGAATGCTGGACCATACTGAATACTATATAATATAGTTTGATAATCCCAGCTTCCAGTTTATCAAGCATTCTTGCAAAAGTTTGTTACTTAATTTGAAATAGTTTAGCTAATACTAGCTATCTAAGAAAAACACACCCAGTACCGTCTTTCATCTTCTTGAAAACAATACTAGAGTTTAAGCTAAGGCAGTTTGTAACAGAATGAAAGCACCAGGTTTGTTGTTAATTGTCCAGGAGTCAGACACTGTTAACCACACGCACTGTTACTTGTCTGCCATTAAAGGGGCATTAATAGTATCCTTTTAAGATTCACATTTTATCTCATGCTGCAAGTAAACAGTTACTCTGCGCTTATGTGGACGAGATAAGGTAATGCACGCAGACGCTGTTAACAGGAAACACCTCTTTCCCCACATTCCTGACTTGGCCCATACGTAAGGGAACTTCAGTTCTTCTTCCAGAAGGAAGATGGAAGGAGTCGCCTGCTCGGTGAGAATGTCATGGGCTATGCTAATGGTGAGTGCCAGCACTAGCCGGAGAGCAAGCAAGAGGCTCCACCTTCTTTGTCTGGCTGTCCTGGGGCCACGTGTGCACCTGCTTATGCTTCATCAGGTAAAGGATGAGAAAGGCAGGGATCCGGGTATCCAGCCCGGTCCTTCATCTTCCCAAGTTCCCACTGGCAACTGGATGGATCAGTCAGACAGGTCACTCACAGGGGTCTAATCAGACAGGGGTCTAATTGTCCTGTGAAAGATGAGGAAGTAGGGCACCTCCCTGTTTGCTTCAGATCCAAGCCAGTGCAACTTTATAATCCCTAAAGCCTTGGGAGGAGCTGAGGTACTAGCACTCCAAAATCACCACCGACAGCTGCTCGGCGAGTGATCCAGGTAAACCAAGGTGCCTCTGAAGTCGCCAGGGGACCAGTCATGCCTGGTGTGAGTCATGGAGGGGGTGGAGGACTGGAGGCGCTTCCCCAGGAGGGGTGAGAAAGGTGCAGCAGGTTTAACCGTGAATAGCCCAGGGGAGACTCCGAACTGGCACAGCAAAGATGCCCCAGGGACACGACCGCCCTCCCGGCTCACCTCTGACCAGTCTCCGGATTTCCACTGTGGACAAGGGAACTCACTGCACCTCTGAAGGGTGACTTTCTCTTGATGTGTGCACTTGCTGTCATCCAGGACATCATTTCGTGTGTTGACACAAATAGCCCTTCTCCTCTGGATTCCACCATCACAGCTTGCAGAACACTGAAAAGACAGAACAGCAACAACAAATAAAAGTTTCTTATCGAGCATGCTCAAGATCCTGGCTATGCTGGTTTGCCTCCGACAGACCTTGAGAAACAACCAACCCTGAACAATTCAAGTTGTTATTTCGGGTCTATCTGCTCATATGATCAATTTATTTACCAGGTTTACAGTGAAGCCAATATTAGTAAATGGGCATAGAAAAATAAAATGGCCAATAGGGTATGGAAGAAGTGACTGGTTGAGTTGGTCTACCACTGCCCACCTGCTATATGCCATGGCCATGTCAGACATTACGAATTGATCACAGCACTCTTCTGCAGATTTCGAATGGGGTCAGGCATCATAAATCAGTCATGGCACTCTTTTTCCATACAGCTCAGTGGGGCCTCTCAACACTGCCCCAGTGAACAAGTAGTTGATTCATCACCACCCACTAACCAGACTCAGCATTCAAGAAGACTCTTCCGGAGACAACGACTTACTTCAGTCCAAGCAGAGTAGTGCCAGCCTGCTGTGTCACATTCTCCTAAGCATTTTTCCTGGTTGTCTGGCTTGGGGTGACTGCTGCAAAAGTGGTCATCAACCTTCTCGGTCTTCCCATCCAGCCGGCTGTATCTGGCACAGATGACGTCTAGCGTGCGGTACCCTAAGCCACACTGGGCGCTACAGTCACTCCTGCCGGCGACCTGCCACCTGTGCAGAACAAGGGGAGAAACCGCGGGTTCTGTGAAGGACATGCCTTGTCTGTAGTCACCTGGTGGAGGAGTTGAGTTCATTTCCCCCCCTTAACTCAAGTACCATGAAACTATAGCCAGTTACTGAAACCCAGTTTGAAACCAACACGTCCCTGTATTTTTCATAGCTGCCAATGTGTGTGGAAGTCAGAGTGATAACTAGAGGTTCTGTCTTTGTAAGGATTCTTCCCTAACACAGTCAACCTAATATACAAGCAACCAAAGAGGAAAAACACTGGAATTCAACAGAGCAAAAAAGCAATTTTATATTTTAGGTTCGTGCTACCCAGCGTTTCATTGATCAAGGAAGCTGCTTGAAACAGAACTGCCCTTGGAAACTCTCCCTAGGAAACCGCCTTTGTTTGGCCTGGGCTGGGGAGCTCAGTGAGCATTCTGTGAGTTAATGAAGGGATGGATAATCTGGACTGCAATTGTGAGGTTCAAGTGTGCTAAACTGTACATGTGGTTGGCAGGGAATAAACACCTTAAGGTCCTCGAAGACAAGGGCCATAGTCTATGCACAACTCATTTATACAATCTTTTTAAAAAGAGACCTTTTTTCTGTTAATCCTCACTCAAGGATATTTCTTCCATTGATTTTTAGAGAAAGTGGACAGGAGGGAGGGAGAGGGAGAAGAAGAGAGAGAGAGAGAAACATCGGTGTGACAGAGACACATTGATTGGTTGCCTCCTGCACACAGCCCAACCAGGTCTGGGGATGGAACCTGCACCCCAGGTATGTGCTCTTGACCTGGAATCGAACCCAAGACCCTTCGGTGTGCATGCCTATGCTCTAACTGCTGAGCCACACTGGCCAGGGCTAGACTTTTTTTTTTAGAGCAGTTTTAGGTCTGTGGTAAAGTTGAGAGGAAGGCACAGAGATTTCTCATATACCCTCTGCCCCCACCCCCGCCAGCCTCCTCTATTACCAACATCCCCCACCAGAGTGGTACATTTGTTACAAAAGATGAACCAACATCAACACGTCATTATCACCCAAAGTCCATTGTTTACATTAGGGTTCACTCTTGGTGTTGCACATTCTATGGGTTTGGGCAAATGTGTTCATCAGTATAATGTAATATAGGGTATTTGCACTACCTGACAACCCTCTGTGCTCCACCTCTTATCCATTCCTTGCTGCCCCACAGTTACACTTTTCAAACTTAGATTTGAATCTACAAATCTTTGTCATGTACAATACATTTGCATCTGTAGCACCTTATAATGGGCCCTCCTTGGCACACAGTAGGTGCTCAGAATAGGATAATAAACGGGTGGTTCTTTTAATGCCCAGGAATATGGTCAGTGCTTGAAGAAAAACATTCTTAAACTGAATAGAATTGTCTAAATAAATGAACTTGAAATATATTGTGTTGATTAAATTTAACAATCAAAAAAGATTACTTTAGCATCTTGGATTCACTCTTGATTGTTAATTCTGTGTTGTTTGGAAACACAGTGGTCTGGCGACACGGATGCGCTGAGAATTCTTCCACCCACACCTGTCTAGGGCGAGGACTCAGAACACAGGAGTACTGGACATACACTTGTCTTGGAATTCTTCACAGATGCTCAAAAGTAGGTCAGAGTTGACCTAATTTTATGTTTGGCATGGAAAGTGGGCTACTGAGATTTTCCGTTCAAGTGATAGAGTATATTGGAGATTTTGCTCTCACTGGAACGTGTTAAATGAGGGACAGCGAAACAATGCTTTATCTCATCCTGTCCAGGTTTCATCTGGGCGAACCCCCACTTCCCTGAGGAAGTGAGGCAAAAGCGTGGCCCGATTTAGCAGAGGCACCTGGGACTTCCATCTGCCCTTTGATTCCTGGCTGCCTTCTCTTTGCCTGCATCACCATTTCCTTGTGGAAAGGTTATTTTCCATCCTGGATGAGGGAGGCAAGGGTCCTGCCCCTACAAGGAAACACCCCAACAGCTCACACTGGGAAAGCAAAGTCTCCCTGATAGTCACACAATCCCCGGAATCCAAGCAGAGAACCTGGAAGAGTGTGAAAGGTCACAGTCTGCCCTGGGAAAGTTCTTCTCAAAATGCTGTCGTTTGCTTCCTAGTCTCTCCCTCGAAGGTGGTCTCAACCACAGTGTTCTGGATTCATTCAGTTCATTTCAGGTAACAATTATATTTTGTTACCATATTTCAGAAAAGCAAAATGGAGACAGAAGAAATGTGATGTGTGTGTGTGGGTGGGGGGGGCATTATTCTGGGAGCTACTGATTTTGCAAAACTTCTCAGGATCTTTAAAATGTTAATCAGTGTTATGAATGTATACATAGGGGAGGAGATAGTAAGGCCTCTCAAACATATCTGTCTGCCATGGATCATCTTGTGGAATTAGGGTTCCATAAACATACTTTGGGAAAAACTAGTGTAGAGTTTGACCAATCAGTAATAATCCCCCCTCCTCAATCTTTTAGTTCTGGACACAGCCACTTAGCAATAATTAGTATAAATCACAATTACAGTAACTGTCAGGTTGACAGAAGAAAGACAAAATACCTTCTTTGGGTTCGGTTTGTATCTTTGTGTATTTTCAGTGAACAACTTCTACCAAAAGACATGGCTACAATTCCTTCACCTTCTCTTCTTTCATCAGCCGGAGGTGCCGCTACCATCCAAGCTGTTCCCTGAGCTGCTGTCCTCCTCTGCTCTTAGTAGACTCTAAGTGCTTCTTTTTTAAGCTAAGTATAAAAACAGATGACTTTCTCTGAATGGGAAATCTAGCACAGCGCCTTCGACACACCTACTATACGATGAAATGAAAAGATTTCCAGCCCTGGTGCTCCCTAGTACTGTGAAGTGATTTCTAGTGAAGGTTAGAGGCTGAGTGATGAAGTCAGAACAAGCTCTAATACTGTTTAGCTCTTGGTTTAGCTACTAACCTCACAAGCTTCAGCTTCCTCATCTGTGACATGGGGGGGAAGCAGGACACATTCCACAGGGTTATGAGGAAGATCAGGAGGCAAGGTATGGGTAGCACTTAACGCACATGACACCCACTCAAGAAAAGAAGCCATAATTATTACTGCTACTCCTGGTGGGTTATTCTCCAGCCAAGTTCAAGTATCAGGTAGCCCACAGAAACCAATAATACAGATTGGGGAGAGATCCAGTTGAGACCTTCCATACAATTCTACATAAATGTCTCAGGGATTTGAGGCTACTTTCAATGTATTTGCTTTAATTTTTATTTTGCATCTGAGAGCTTCCAGTGCGGGGAAACTCCGGAGAACACAGGACTAGCCAGCATCATTACCAACTACACTGTGGCTTACTGGAATTTGTTTGAAGTGAAAATTTTTGGTTTCTTGAAGTAGCAGTTCAAACATTAGCTCCACCCTCAAATCGTTGCTCCTTGGGTAAACTGAAGCAGGGTTCTTAAAGAATCTTTTCTTTTTTTTTATGGTCATGTTTTAGTACTGGAAATGCTTTGTACACACTTGTCTCCCCCACAATCATAACAGCGTGCTTAGAGCAGGAGTCCGCACTGCTGCATTTATCCCTCGAGGCGCCCCATCACCATTCTGCTGGTCTCGCTCCGCCAGGGCAGAGACGCCAGTGAGGGTCCAAGGAAGACAGAGAACCGGTGGGGTAGGAATCTATTAGGAGTTATTTCTTTTCACAAAGGAAGAAAAGCTACACAAAATGAGATCAGTGGGTACCACTCACTATGCCTGAATTAAAAATGAAAACAGCTTTCTCCCAAGTTTTGACGCATACAGGCTCCAGGGCAGCCGGAGCCCATATTTAAATCCTGCCCTTCACCAGGGGCTCGTGTGACCTGGCAATGTGCTTAACTTCTCTCGGCCTCTGCTTTCCTTAGTTGTTAATCTAGAATAATAATAATAATAATAATAGCAGCAATACTTATGTCATTGTGTTGTTTAGTAGGTTATTAAGATAAGTAGGACCTTAATATATTAACTAGGATAAGACTTTATATATATAAGATAATATAAGAATTATCCTATTAACACAAGACTATTAATAGGATAATATGTAACTTAAAAATAGTTCTTAGTAAATGGCTGACTCTATTACTTGCAGAGTAGTTACCACCCTGAATAATACAATTACTATTAATTAATTATTAGTGTTATAATATTATTAGCTATAATTGACATAAGGTTAATTATAAAATGTCACCTTTCCCAATTTACTGAGGTTGTGCTTCAAGGAGTCTATCTGCCAATTCAGTGTTCCCCCTCTAAACTTTAGTGATTAATTCAGTTCAGCATTAACTAGCTAATTAGTTTTTCTGAAAAGACCTTTAACTCTAATTTAAACTCAGTTGGTTGAAGTGATGGGTCTGTGTGGACATTACCTGTAACAAGAGTCAATACTGTCTAGTGTAAAAGTCTGCCTTTTAATGCCTTGGGTTTTTCTTTCTACAATGACCTCTATCACTACTTTTTGACAAACCCTTCGGCAGGCAGGTCAGTGACATCAGGTCGAGAGGACGTGTGGTGGGAGGAAAGAGGCAGGGCTTCGACATTTCGACATCAGAGACTTCAGATCAGGACAGGCAAAGATGTGGCATTTGTGCTATGTCTCCTCCCGTTCCATGACAGACATGACTAATTGATCACAGCACTGCTCTTCTCTCTCATGACCTTATCATTGTCACTTTAGCACTACAGCCTGCCAATCCCACACGCAGGGCTGCCACGGTGAGGTGGAGCCTGCAAAATGCTGACGTTCACTGTGCTTTTTAAGAGAGGTAAAGCGGTAACAAATTCCCATACCATTCTATATTTACAATTTCGTTTCTGTGAAAGGAGAATAAAGCACCAACTCATCTTACCTGCATTTAACTGATATGTAGACTACACAATGCAACCCCCAGGCTGCTTAATATTCAAACATGACACAAACTTGCAGGCAAATGGAAAACTATAGAACTCTCCACCCAACCATCATTTCTTGCCTCAGAGTTCAGACTTTGCTTAAACGCAGACTTGTTTGGATATTTAGACAGCTATACGCAGATTTTCTTCCAACTCCTACAACGCTACCTTACTGCACTGCACCTTCCGTGTGCATGAGAGTCCCACTGGGTTGTGTACACGCTGGGTGATTGCAGAATAGTCCAGGTGTTTTGAAGGATCAAGTTTCCCCCTTTTCTGCTGACTTTCAAACTAAACTTTTGCATAAGATGTGACTCAGTCATAGTGATACCTACACAGTGACTTGTGAGGGTCAAATGAAAACTGTTTTTGGCAAGTGCCATACTTCACTAACTATTTTTTTTTAATCCTCACCTGAGTCCATTTTTTTCTGCATTTATCTTCAGATAGAGAGGGAGAGAGAAAGGGAGGAAGAGAGAGAGAAACATTGATATGAGAGAGACACATTGACTGGTCATGTCACCCACATGACCCAATCGGGGGCCGGGGACAAACTGCAACCGAGGTACGTGCCCTTAGTGGGAACCGAACCCTGGACTCTCTGGTCCACAGGCGGATGCTCTAACCATTGAGCAAAACTGGCCAGGGCACTATTTTAAATTTGTAAAAAAGGAATAAGAAATTTGCAGGCATACATGTTGGATAATCAGTTTTAGAGAGATGGGAAATTGGCTAATGCTTCATTTCACAGAAGCACAAGGACAGGGACGAAAGACCCGTGTCCCCTGCTCCTGCTCCGCACAGGCCATACCTCCTACCAGATCCGTGCAGCTCAGCAGTGAAGACCTTGAAGAAACACTGGCCTTACCTCAGGTCACAGTCTGTGCCGCAGGGCTCAGTGATGGGTCCTGGCTGGGGCAGCCGATCGCACTTTTGATCAGAAACTATAACCTGATCAGATTCCCTGGTGCAAACAGGTTTCCGTTTCCGCTCCCCTAGGCAGGGGGAAAGATTAGTCAGAGAGAGTACCAACCTATTGCATAAACTGTTCAGACCAGGGACTGGCAAACATTTCCCGTAAAGGATTAGCCAGTAAATATGTTTGGTTTTGTGGGCCCGTGATCTTTGTTGAAACTGAACTCTGCCATTATAGGGCAAAAGCACCGCTCATAGACAGTATGTGAAAAACTGGTTGTGTCTGTGTTCCAATAAAACTTTATTTATAAAAGCAGGTGGGGGCTGGGATTGGCCCACTGGCTGTGGTTTGCCAACCTCTAATTCAGACAAAATGAAACAAATAAATACCTTATCATAGGACCACTAAACCCACGACTCTGGAAAGTCAAAGTGACAGAGCCTATTCGTTGGCTTCACAGTGTGTGTGGACTTTAGGTGAAAATTTAAAAACACCCCACTTCTTTTTTTTAACTCAAAAACACCTCAAAATGAAATAAGTCAGACAAAGAAAGAAGAACTGTATGATTTCAGTTATAAGTGGAATCTAAAAAGAAAACCAAACCCATAGAAATAGATGAGATTAGTGTTTGCCAGAGGTGTAGGTGGGGTGGACAAAATGGGTTGAAAGTGGTCAAAGCTACAAACTTCCAGTTATAAGATCAGTAAGTCCTGGGAATGTAATGTACAGCATGGTGACTACAGTTAACAACACTGTGTTGTATATTTGAAAGCTGCTCAGAGAGTAGGTCTTAAAAGTTCTCATTGTAAAAATAAAATTGTAACTATGTGTGATGATGGATGACAATGAAACTGTGGTGGTAATGATTTTGCAATAGATCAAATCATTACATCCTACACCTTAAACTTATACAATGTTTTAGTATCAATTATATGTCAAAAAAACTGCAAAAACAAACCAACCAAAAGAATGCCTCAAATCCCCCAAACTGAACGGGAAAAGCTGCTACCTTGGCAGGGTTTGCTACAGGCTTGCCAGGGCCCATGGCTGCTCCAGTGGAACTGCTGGGGCTTGTCTTCAATGGGGACGTTGAAGGAATAACGCACGTCGGGGCTGTACAGCTGCCCCACCGACAACACCTGGGATGTGCAGACAAAAGGGAGACGGTGTTTGCAGGTCTGGTGACCCCGAGGGGAAGGAAAGGCTTGTGGGTTCACGGCCAAGATTTTACCTGCAGCAAAAGGTCTTGTTCTATGCGATCTGTGCAATTCAGTCTCTCCACGACATTGTCGGACCCGCTGTACTCTACCAGAGTATTCCCAAGGCGGATTTCCTTTTTGGACATGGTGACAACGAAGTCTCCATTGAGCAAGAATTCACCTTCACTGTTCGATAACGCTGTAGACGAGAAAACGGAACTCACTGATGTGCTTGCTGCCAATGGCTCGCAGTTTGAAATGTGCAGTAACGCCTTGACCAGCAGGGACCGTGCAAACAACATGGACTTGCAGGCAAGCAGGCAGGGCCTCAAACCCCAGCTTTGCCCCTGCCGGCTCTGCGGCCTTGGGAAATCGCCTTCTCTCCCTCCAGCTCATTTCTTTATCTCTAAAACAGAGAGAAAAACTCCTACCCTTCAAAGTGCCTCTCAAAATTAGGAGAAATATAAGCATCCTTGTAAGCCTAAAGCTTGTTATACAAGCCCCACAATTACAGGATTTGAGATGGAAACAAAGTGTTGCGATCTGAAAGTACGTACAATGAATCAAACATTTACAAAACTGATCTCCACCCAGATAATACCTCTCCACTTTACATTAGATTTAGTTGGACTTATTAAATCTTTGTTAGTCTTCTTGTTTGACAGATGTGGAAATCTGAAAATCCATGGCCAATAGATGCTCAAATGTCGTTTTTTCAGTGAGACCCACAGCAATGGCCAGCCTCCAGTGTGGGCCCAGTGACTCGCCGCCTGGAGCGCACCTCGTGTATCACCTCCAACCCCCCATGTAATAGCACTGACTGTGTAATCACGTGGACACTGCAGGAATGACAGGTCAGCGGCATGTGGCTCCCCCTCGCTCTTCCCCGAATCTCTGGTTTTAGGGGGAAGGCCGGCTGCCACGTTGGCAGGAAACCCAAGCAGCCGCCTTGCAGACAGCAGTGAAGAACGGACGCGGGCACGTGGGAAGAGGATCCAGCCCCCGGCACATTTTCAGATGCCGAGGCACCTCAAGCCAGAGACTCCCAGCCATGCCGCTCCCAAACGCCTGATGCGCAAACTGGCAGACAGTATGCATCCGTTCCTCTAAGCACCGTGGTCTGAGACCCTTTGTTAGCCAGTCAAAGCCGTTCAGCAGACCTACCCAGACCATTATCCCTGAAACCTCAGCAGAGACCCCACGCTTCCTACACGCCTTCCCACCTCCGTTTCTCGCCACGGCACTGTTGGTGCACCCTCCACCCCCAAACCGCGTGCAGAGGACAAGGAGCTGGGCTGTCTCGCTCACTGCTACGAATTCCAGGTTCTGAAAGAGCTTGGTCACTTTGCAATGAACACTGTCTTTGGCAGAGTGAAGGAATGTGCTGCAGACCTTGCAGAAGATGACACAGTCAGTGACGCTGAAAACATCACGATGGAGGCGGCCTGAGCAAGGGCCCGGACCTGGCCGAGCAGAGCGACAGGCAGCCCCGTGAGAAATGCACGCAAAGGGAAGGACACGGACAGGGAGGAGGAGATGCCGGCTGCTTCAGAGGAATCATTTACTTATTCAAGTGTCACGAGAGACTATTGAGAGAGTGAATAAAGCCCCAGCAAGTGTTTAAAAATGACTTCCTTTCAGAATTTACCATTAAATTCCAACGTTAACTGAAGAGTCTACTACGCTGCTATCATAAGACATGACTGGGAAACTTCGGCAAAATTATTTACTAATCGCTTTATTCCCCGTTCTTCAAAAATGGGCGTGATAGAAATTAAAATGTAATTTTGTTGAACATAAACATAAGAAAAAATAAACTTATTCTCATACTTTTTGACTAATCTCTTAAGATTAAATCCCAATCATAGCTTTCCCCCCAGTATGTATTATTAGAATTTTGGTTTTAAGTACCAGCCGTTCTGTCCCCAGTACCCCCGCTCCTTGAATAATGAATCCTCCTGAGCTCTGGGCTGGACAAGAAACAGGCACTCAACAGATCGGAGGTATTAAACATTTGGGCTCTGATTAGCAAACCGTAGCAAGAAGGGAACCTTTGAAATATCCAGGCTCTGTATTTAGGTGAAACAAGGAAACACAAAAATTTAACTCATGTAGCAAATAGGTCCTTCAATGGGTACCAGCTGCCCAAGAAACTACACAGGGCAGGAGTCAGTCGGCTCCATGTCTCGGCATCATCTTAATGACAATCTGTCTTGATTGTGAGATGGGAAGTGGCTCAAATGTCCTAAGTGTTCGCCAGACCCTCACCTTCCACCGCGCAGGCAGAAGAGGTTAGAGGACGGGGCGAGCAGGAGATGTGCCCCATGTGGAGAGGAAAGAGGGCTGAGACCCGCTCTGCGTGTTCTTCGAAGCTCAGTAGCAGCAGGCTCTTGCACGGGGACCTCACAGAGCTCCCTCACCCGGACACTCCGGTGCAGAGATGCTGTTCACAGGGGCAGGAGTGACCGCCGGACGCAGCACTCACCACCAGAATCCCCACCCCTGGAAGTCCCGCCTGGGCCCCGGGAAGACAAGATGCCTTCGTGTGAAATGGTGCGGAGGAGTGTGGTGACACATTTTTATCTTTAAAAAAGATTTTTAAAAACCCTCCGAAATCATGGCTGCTTCTTCTTAGCTCAAAATTCTTTGGTAGCCCGTACTATCTACAGAACTTATTTCAAATTCCCTAGGATAACTTTCTGTATCTTCACAAATCTTATCCTGACCTATTTTCCCAGCCTCCCCATTCACTCCCACCAATAAAGCTCAGCTTCCAGGCACGTGAATCTCCAGGTCCAGTCACCACACGCTTTTCTACAGGGAGGCAGCCAAGTGAAGTGGTTAAGGGTGCGGGACTGAGGTCAGAGCAGTGAGCAATACAATTCTTCCCTTCTGTTTGTGTGATCTCGGGGAGGATACTTCATCTCTCTCAGCCCCAGTTTCTTCCTCTGTGCAATGGGTTTCTCACAACGTTGTTAAGAACAGTAAACACAAAAGCACACATAGGCTTCCATTCCTGGCAGATCACATGCCTTGAAAGGCACCGTCTCCTTATCATACCTTTACTGATACCTAGTTTATGGAGGAGAACAGCATGACTTAAATATTAGTAAAATACTTTCCCAAGTGCGGGTTTCTCATCATGGAAGCCTATCTCTGAAGCCTCTTAACCACTCGAGTTTTCGAAGAAGGATATCAACAAACGTTTGATAAATGAGTGAATAAATTCAGGCATTCTTTCTCCTGTGTACAAATAGAACCCAACTATGTTTAGCTACAGACTTTTTAAAAAACTTAAATTGTTTTGCTAGACTGCAGAGTCCCTTTAGTAAAGTGACCACTTAAAAACGTACTTTTCTAAGGCCAAGAAAAATCCCTGGAGGTGCTCAGTCAACGATGTTAAACAAGGAGCGACTGACTCTGTTCATGACGAGGGGAACAGAGCGCTTCCAGCCTAATGACCGCGTCCCTGTGAGCGGGAGCCTCGCCCCTGCTCCTTCAGCGTGAGCCCACCAGCCAGGACGATGCGTGGGTTTCCGAGGGTCACTGACTGGAGATGGAGCTGTTTCCAATGGCATCTGGGGCTTCCTCCTAATGTGGGTCCCTTACGGGGACATGGCAGGACATGCTGCCCACAAAATCACCTAGTTATTTCAAGGGAAGTCACCTGCTAGCCGCCCAGCTGTTTCACTCAAAGGGGGAGATAAGATGTCACAAGGTGAGTCTGTAAATTAAGCTGTAATCCAGTTTGGTTTGTATTCAAAGAGAGGTCATTTATTCAAGGGGAGTCGTGGGGTTGCTGTTCAATGTCTCCCGGCTTCCACTCATGCTCACTCAAAACTTCTCCCTTCACCGCATCCCCTTATCCCAAAGACGGGAGTCACCCGGTGAAAGGACATTGCTGCTTCGCCGTGAACTGATCCATCCCTTCTTCCCATTGCCACAGCCCATCCCGGGCTCAGTGCCCCGGAGACCAACAAGTCACAGAAACAGCTCTTTCTCCAAAAGAAATGCCAACATGGTGGCACCGGGTGCAGCTGGGCTTCAACCAACAGGAGGGAGGGGTCTGTGTGCAAGGGTGACCTTTGACAGGGAGACTTTCTGCTTCAGCTCCTTGTGAAACAAATAGTTTCCTGCAAACAACAGTCTGCTGCCCAACCTCCCACTAACGTGATTAGGGAGCCACTTTCCGGGCCTCGCTCCCCCCACTTCTCCTGGAAATGGCTCCCTTGCCAACACAGGCAGAAAGAGTGGCTGGGCCGGCCTTCGGAAGAACGGGCTGGAGCAAGACCCCCAGGGGGGTCCAAACCTCCCCAGAGCGCTTGCCGCACGAGCAAACCTTACACACGCCGGGTCTGATGACATCGTCTTCCTCCTGCCCCGTTAAGGCCCCGGGCTCTGCGGTCTCGGCTGCCACACCCAGGGACCTGTGACTGGCCGCCTGCGCTGCACACCTTCCATGTGCCACCAGAGAGACGTTCTCTTGCTAACAGGTGACTGACCATAATATTCCATTCAAGAGCCGCGACCGCTTCAGACGGCCTGCCGCAGACGACAAGTCTTTAGAACTTTGCTTTCATTCTTTACAAGAAGATCAAGAAACCTCCAGGGAGGAGTCAGAGGTTCTCAGGAGGTCTTCCTCCATTCAGGTGCCTGACCTGCTTGATGAAGTGGAATTGAAGTGCGCTCCTTATTGGAAAGAGATTATTCTTCCAGGAAGGAGAGAATAAGGAGAATCCGTCTTCATTTAAGGGAAGGAAAGGAGGAGGTCAACACAGTTTTCAGCTCTCAGGAAATTAATTTGCAACGGGGTGGTATGCACTGCTGTCGGATGTAATTAGTGCCTCACAAGGCCACAGGCTCGCATGTAGAACCCCGGTGTGCAAAGAGAAATGCGGACCATCCTGCACAGTGGTGGAATGAGGAAGGTGGGTTTGCCGAACAACTGCTTGAAAAGAATTCCCAGAAACTTCATTAATTGTCTTATAAAGTCACTGCCCATTTAGATACTTAGGTTGTGAAAAGCTGATTCAGCCACTGAGTCACTGATTTCAAGTGGGACTTTATGTTCCTTAAACGAAGGGGCGGTCGTGTCTATCTCCATGGTAATGCCAACCCCACGAAGCACACGGGGTGCTCCGTGAAGACAGCACGAGCTGTGGCTGCTCCCCAGTTCAGCAACAGGGACTTCATGTGCAGGCTTTCTGTCAGGAGCTACAGAGACAAAGACACAGCCTCTGACCTTAAAACCTCGTGGTCACGGGGATGAATACGAAACAAGTTGTCTCATGTCAGTTGATGGCCACCTCATCCCCTCAGCTGCTCAGTCCAAACTGGAGCCACCTCTTTCTCTCACACACCGTATTCAATCCATCAGCAAGTCCCCAGGCCTCTGCCTTCCAAAGACATCCAGAGTCTGACCACACTCTGCCGTCCCCACGTGGGGCCAAACCACCAGCACCTCCCGGACTACTGCAGTAACTCCCTCACCATCTTCACGCTTCTGCCTCGTACCCTCCTCCACCTCCTGTTCTCAACACAGTAGCAAAAGGGAAACAGAGACTGAGGGTGGGCTCCTTCGAAAAATAAATATGATTATATCGTGCTAGTCCTTGGCTCAAACCCCCGGCAGCTCCCCTTCTCAGTGTAACCCTTGCACTGGTTACATGCCCTTTATGATCTGGTCCTGACACCCGTTCAGCCTCATCTGGGGCTCTCCTCTGTGCTCCCTCAGCTCCAGCCACGATGGCCTCCCTCTGCTCTTGGAACAATCCAGAAATAATACTCCTTCAAGGACTCTGCACTGGCTGTTCCCTCTGCCTGGAATGCTCTTCCCTCAGGGGTGTTGTTATCTCTTGCTACATTTCCAATATTTCAGCTGCACTGTTCCCCGCCTACCCTGAGTATCCCAATTTCCCTTCTTCTCTCTGTTATCTAACAGCTCGGATCATCTTCTAACAGTGTGCAGCTTGCTCATTGATTAAGTTATTGTCTATCTACTCCAGCAATTTTTCAACCGGTGTGAAATTGCAAAAAAATTCAAAACATGCCATACCTGACTATTTAGTCAGGGGCACTGACCGCTTTTCCCTTAGACTGCCAAATTAAAAAATGGCAACAGCCAACACAACAATAGCTGTCCAGTGTGAATGAATCAAATTATACCTATTTTTTTTGTTAGATTGGCAAAAGATGTATTTTTTGGTGTGCTGCAGAATTTTAGTAATTAGTTTATGTGTGCCTTGAGATGAAAAAGGGTTGAAAATCACTGATCTACTGAAAAGTAAGTTCCAAGAAAAAAGAGATTTTATTTTTAGGTTTTTGTTCTGTTTTGTTATTGTGCCAAGCAACTATTTAACCAATAATAAATAAAATGAATGATGATAAAACTGCAGAAAATGCTATAACGGAGTCATGTCTAAATATTGTACTTGATTAGCCTGCTTGACTAAAGGATCATTGTGTATCTTACGAAGGATTTCTTTTTAAATATATTTTATTCATTGTTTTTAGAGAGAAAGGAAGAGAGGGAGGGATAGAAACATCGATGTGAGAGTGAAACACCAATCAGCTGCCTCCTGCACGCCCCCTACTGGGGATCGAGCCCGCAACCCCGGCATGTGCCCTGACTGGGAATCAAACCGGGACCTCTCAGTCCATGGGACCAGCTCAATCCATTGAGCCACACCAGCTGGGCATGTATCTTATAAAAGATTTCATGCAGACATTCCAAAATATAGATACAGGTTCTAATTTGATTCAACTACCACTCATTTACTAGCTCAATAGGCCCACATGTTTAAAGTAAGCCTCCATAAGGGGGTCAGCGGGGGAAAAGGAGGGGCATCTGTAATAGTTCCAACAATAAAGTTAACAAATAAATAAATAAAGTAAGGAAGCCTCCATGGAGGTTGTATTCAGATGGATAAATAAAATTCCCATCTGGACATTGTAAGAGAGAAAGTGCATTAGCACATTCATTTCTTTTAAACGCTGACTGCCGCCCTGGCTGGTTTGGCTCAGTGGTTGGAGTGTCGGCCTGAGGACCAGAGAGTCCTGGGTTCAGTTCCCGCTGGGGGCACGTACCAAAATAAAATAAAATAAAAAAAAATTTAAAAAAAGCTGACTGCCCAGGAAGGCGGCCCCGCTCTCCTCCAGACCTGAGCCACGCACGTGCTTCTCGTGGCCGGGAGAAGCCTGGTTGTGCCGGGGACCAGCTGAACTGCTTCCATTCATGACCCACTCCCCATGTCCTTTTAATTGAAAATGGCTGGCAAATTTCATGACCACTTATTGCATTTTGCAGAATGATAAATTGAAGTGGGACTCAGCTGAGCAAACTCTGGAAAATGAGCACAAGGCTGTTGGCGTGTTGTGGTTTAAATATAAGGAATAAACAGGGACTGATTATGTGCCTGAGCGTGGTGAGAGAGGGAGAAGAATCTGCAAAGTAACCAGATGGGCCATCCTAGTAAAGGCATGAATGACCAGGCATAATCAAATACTGAATAAGTCCACCGGTGGTGTGCTCTTGGTTAGAGGTGGTAACATAAAAATAAGTCAGGTAATACCTCTAACAAAACATTTGCAAGTCAGTTACCCACAGGACACATTTTTTTGGAAAAAGACTCAAAGAGCAATGATTTTATGCTAAACTTACAAGGCAAGTACTTTCAAAATTTGATTTAGGGCCCAGGCCAGTGTGGCTCATTTGGTTGGAGCATTGTCCTGAACACCAGGAGGAGGCAGGTTCGATTCCTGATCAGGGCACACACCCAGGTTGCAGGTTCAATCCCCAGTAGGGGCAGGCATGGGAGGCAACCAATCAATGTTTCTTTCTCTTTCTCTCTCTTCCTCACTGTCTAAAATCAATTTTAAAATGTTTTTAAAATTTTGATTTAGGGCCTTTCTATTTTCTAAGATCTAGAGTAAATCTCTCGATATTGACTCTTAAATCAATACTATGAGGCTGTACGTATGAGGAAGAAATAAAATAGTGAATTTCAAGATCAACCCCTTTTATGAAAATACATGACTTCTGAAAGCTCTCCGTGTGCAATAGGGAGAAGGAAGTGTTAGCACCCGCCCACTGCTCCGGAAAAGCAGCTCCTGCAGCGCCATCTCACCTAAGTAGTTATCATCCTCAGACTTCCCCGAGAAGCTGTGCTGCCGCACGTCGATGCTGGTGGCACCGGCTGGAATTCGGACCACGAAATTATAACCTGGAAACAATGTAGCAGACATTCAGTATTCAGTATTCCCTAGCGTGGTTCACTTTCTCTAAGCATGGAATAAAATATGAGCAACACAGGAATATACTATAACTCTCACTTATTAGGTGCCTTAGAGCCAGACGGGTGCCTCAACAAGACTGACTTTACACTTGACATTATTCCTTTTTAAATATTACATATGGTGAACAATTCTTAAACTTTGACCACTTTCCTCCTCGTGGTTGTTAGGAACAGACTCTTACCATAATGTGCTATATTAAATGTTCCTGCCACTGTTTTGCACGAAGAATTATCTCCACCGCACACCCCACATTTATCTTTCCGGGCTTTTGAGTTTAAAACATGATCGCATCCAGCTTGCTTTTAAAAAGAAAACATTTGAAATAAATAGTAATTATTATAAAGATTACAAAACAACAAGTAATGTATTTCTTTGCATGCTGTACATTCAAAATGGCAACAAAATGAAGTCTCTTTAAACGTGCAAGGGTTGAGAACTCGAACTCGCTATGGAAAATGTGGTCCTCGGACCAGCGGCCCCGGGCACCCCAGAGGCTGTCAGAAAGGCAGCTTCTCGAGCCCCTCAGATCAACTGACTCAGAGTAGATTTTCTGGCACAAGGACAAGCTCCTTGGGTGCTGCATCTGCAGAGTGAAGTCTGCGAAGCACCAGTCCACAAATGAATTGAGTAAATAAAAAATCGCTTGGGACTGGATAAAAGGAGCAGCGAGGACTGCATCCCATTAAAGAGCTCACATCCCGCCCAAGGGAGCGGCCGCTGTTCACGACCGGCTACTCCTCCACGCGCAAACAGGAGTCCAGTGTTGACACTGCCCAATTTTCCAAGACCAGCTGGAAAATTCATTTCATGTGAAATCACTCATGTTTAAATACGGACAATGAAGGGAGGCCGAAGATGGCTGCAGACCACCGCGTGAGGCCGCTGCAAAGGGCCTTCGGATTTCTCTAGGTCTCTGCAGAGCAGCAGCGTGGGCTGAGCTCTGGGTCACGGCAGCCACCCGGAGACCAGGACGGCGGTCCCGTTCTTGTCCACCTGGTTCCTTTGTACCAACTAGGCTTTGAGCAGAAACCAGCGTTGCTCTAAAGTAAACTGACAGGGGGACCCTGCTGTCAGCGGTGAGCAGAGCCCTTCCCGCCAGACCCTCCGACCGGACCTCCATCTGCCAGGGACCACGGGCAGGGAGCAAGCAGACCCACGCACAGCCTTGCTGGTGGCGATTCTGACCGTGAGGGTACCGAGCCCCTGAGAAATCACTGTGCTGTGGCTCTACCATCACCCAGAAGCGCCGATTTCCCCTCAGGGAGTCCCTAGAGGGTCGAAGCTACCTGCTCAAACCAGGGCTGACAGCCTGAGCCGGCTCCTCCCGGACCCTCCTGGAGCAGGCCCTTCAATCTGGAACCGCGGGAGGGAGGGGCACGGGGTGTAGCCGTAAGCCCGGGTTACAGTCAGGGAGTGCGTGGGAAAGCTGCTGTAATAAATCTTCACAGGGGTGTGCCCCAGGAGGCCGAGAACACCAAGAACAACCCAGGGCAGCGGTTCTCAGCCGCTGGCCTGCCTCAGGGGGCTCCGCCGTGAGAGCCAACCGGAGCCACTGCTCAGGCACTAGCGACTGCTTCTTGTCAAGGAAGCCGGACACAGCCTGGCAGCAAGACAGCACTGTGATGAAAACGGCATCGGGGACTTACCCGGCAAACGCCTTGGACACAGACATCGCTGGTGTCCTGGCCACATGGAGTCCCATCCACCACTTTGTCGCGGAGCTGATAGTAGACTGTGCTCCCGACCACTCTGCAGTACAACTTGCACCTGTCCTTCAAGAGAACTGGAGAGGAGAGACCCAATGATGCAGCGTGACCTCCGTGCCCGGGCACTGGCCCGCCCACCCGGCGCCCCCGCTACACTCACTTCCACTGTACTTAGGCACCCAGCGCACGCTCGGAAGGAGGCCGTTGATGTTAAAATGCTTCCCATCATACTGAGAGCACTGCTCCTCTCGGAAGTCTCGCTTCTGCTTGGAACACGGCTGGATGTTGCAGGACTTGAATTTCATTCGACGCCCTGTACAGTACCTTCCACCGTTTTTTGGCCTGAAAAAAGGTAAACGGCACACACTGTATTATAACGGATTTCTCCCACATCACTCTCTCACCTGTGGCTTACTGCTTTCTAGGGAAGTAAAGTTGGAGTGGCCAGTGACGGAGAACAGGGCAAGGGTTCTAAAATCTGGGTTTGCATTCTGCCTTCAACACCATTAAGTGTCTAACCTGGGCAAGTCACTTATCCTCAAGCCTCAGTCCTTCCCATCTGTAAAATGGGAAGGTGCCATTTGGTAAGGCTGTTTTGAGGATCAAGCATGAGAGTGTATAAATTAAAGTATGAAATATGAAGCCTGGAATCTCTCAGGCCATTTTCTCTCTTCTTTTTCCCAAATAGTCACAGTCCTTTGATTTCAAAATTGTACAAGGTGAAAGGTAGAGATGAGTAGTTAAAATGCTCTCTGCCTAACTTTCCTACCGAGAATCTCCTGGGAAACCATCCTAAACCTTTGCATTCCACTTCCATTCTTTCTCCCCCTCCTCTCGCTCCACCAATAACCAGTGTATTTGTTTGTTTTACAAGTAAGACGGAATAAAGGGAATGAATGTGCCTGTATTTCCACTAACTTCACAGGAGAAGCAGGAGAGAGCATACTGGCTTCATTATCTTGTGTGACAAGAGTATGGAGTATGTCTTACAAAGCATCACAGTGCAAATTTAATCTCTGCATGCAACCCGTACGTGTATTTTCCAGATGTGACCCCGAGAGTAAATTATACAACACATCTCCCAGCAGTCAACAGCTTGCCAAACTCATCATGGAAACGGGAAGACCACAGGACCACAGGAAGTCTGGCTCACGCACCAGGCGGGCGCAGCTTGGCCTCGCTGCCACCCCAGGACCCTCTCAAACGTTTCCACCCTTCTCCTTGGGAAAACCCTTCAGAGTGATTTGGACCATAAGAAGAGTTTTGCGTTGTGTTTTGTTTTGTTAAACTCGGCCCTGGGGAGTGGGAAACGCATCCAAGCCCACACAATACCAAACGAGAGGCAACCCAGAGGAGCAGGTGAGAGTAGGACCTGGCCCTGTCCTCACTGTGTGACCTTAGACAAAGTTCTCAGTCTCCCTGCACTTCCGTCTTCTGCTGTACATAAGTGCACACAGCAGACGCCTGAAATGTTAACTACTATGATGTGACATGTGAACACTCCCATTCTAATCTGATCCAATTCAACAGTTTGCTTGTTTTAAGTACCAAATCGGAGCTACAACATGGTTTGCCTTGTAAGGTAGGACTCAGTGCTCTTGCAGAGTGTCCAGTCTCAGGAAAGGCCACCTGGCCGCGACACTGTCATAGATGTGATCCTGCCATCAAAGATTTGTGGGGTAAGGTAAGAGCACAGGCTTCACGATTACAAGCTGGGCACTCTGGGCAAGCTCCCGGCCTCTGAGCTCTGTCCTGCACACGTAGAGCTTGTCATGAACCTGGGTCTGGTAAGTACTGATGAGGAAGGCTGCGTCTGGGGATGCGAAATGGCACACCCTGGCAGCACCTGGCTGGCTGTCTTCCCATTAAACACAGTGAAGCCATAAGCTTTATATCTGCATTGTGCACTTGACTCGCCAAAACTCACTCATGTTTTGCCCAATAGAAAGGCAGAGGTACTTTTATACTACACAAGAGGACAATCAGAGAAGTTAAGCACTTTGCCCAAGGTCACACCGTTAATAACAGAGCAGAGACAGGACTAGAAGTCAAGTTTCCCAGGTTCTTTATGCTCTTTCTGTTACATTGTCCAGGAGCTATGGTCCAGACCCTTTTGTTTTTCTCTTCTGATGCCATTTAGAGATAGAGCCTTGATTTCCTGGATACGAAGCTCTTCTCTCTGTACACGGGCACCCCAGCCTCATACCTAAAACATCAGGTTACACATGAATAACAGATCAGGCCCACAGAGCTGCTCAGGTGAAGCTTGTCTTGAATGTGCCACATGGACGACTGCCTTCAACTTTTCCTCAAATCGAAATGATATTTGTGAATCTTTTTAAATGTCTCAGTTAACTATGGTGGGTTGAGCATTTATTTGTTTCCTGACAGTAATTCATATTTCATTCTCTCTTTGAAAATAAAAAACGTTTTAAAGTTGATTCTTTTTTTCTTCTGGTTCTCTTACCTAATGAGTCTTAGCTGATTCTTGCAACTGACCCACTGCAACAGTTCTCTGGGTGCAAACGGTTAGTTTTGTAGGTGGCTTCCCTGCAGATGGTGGCACTGTCACCTTAGCTTGCTTTGACCACTACCAAATGGCAAATAGCATCTAGTGATTCCTTTTTATAAATGACATTTTTAATAAACAATACATAGAAAATACTCCATGTAAGATGGGTCCTAGCCCTGGTCAGTTTGGCTCAGTGGCTAGAGCATCAGCCTGCGGACCAGAGAGTGCCAGGTTCGGTTCCTGCTAAGGGCATGTATCTCGGTTGCAGTTCGTCCTCGGCCCCGGTAGGAGTCGTGTGGGTGGCAACCAGGTGATGTGTCTCTCATGTCGATGTTTCTCTCTCTTCCTCCTTCTCTCCCTCCCATTCTATCTGGAGATAAATGAAAAATGTCCTCGGGTGAGGATGGACTCTAACAGCGGGTTTGAATCTCAGCCCTGCCTCTTAATAATAGTGCAACCGTAGGCAGGCTGCTACCTCTCTCTTAGCCTGATCCCCTATCTGTAAAAGGGAGATGATGGCAGTCTGCTTCACAGCGCTGAGTGAGGGTTGACTGGGTTAATACATTCAAAGCTTGCACAAGGCCTGCCGCGCAGTAAACACAGTAAATGTTTAGCTATTACAAGGGTCCGCAAACTACAGCATGTGGGCCAGAATCTGACCTACTGCCTGTTTTCACATCGCCAGTGAGAAAATAATGGAGTTTTTTACATTTTAAAATAATTAAAATTTTAAAAAATTTTGAGATACATAAAAAATAATGTGAAAATAAAATTTCTGTGTTCATAAGTAAAGTTTTATTGGAACACAGCCACTCTTTACATACTGTCCGTGTATGTTTCCTACTATATCAGCAAGGTTGGGACAGAGATCCTGTGATCCTCAGAGTCTAAAATACTTATAATGTTAAGTATTCTGGCAAGGTCACACGCCAGGTAAGTCGGATGCGCTGGCCGAGACCAGCCCAAGCCTCCCTGACCTTTCACTCATGATCCGGCCTGTCTGCTATGCTGTTTCTCTCGAAATAGGCCTCTTTTCATATCAAAACTCATTCTTTGATTTTATTTGCTCTTTATATAAAGGCAGATTATATTTGAGTAATAAATGTACATTTGCCTTTTTGAAATATATGGCTTATGTTCTATCCTAGCCAACGCGATCTCCGCCTGATTTGCAAGTGCTGTGCAATGGGCTTTAGCCAACTTAACTTACCTTTCAGCATGGAAAAATTTCATTTTATACTTTAGTAATTGAGCTGGGTAGGCGTATTTTTTCCATGTAGGAAAATACTGAAAATTATAGGAAATGCAACTTGAGAAAATATTAACCACATTTTCCAACTATTAAGCTCCTTTAAAAATATTGCATGTCAAATAGGGATGAAAAGGACTTAAGGAAATTGCTAGATTAATTACTATGAAAGTAACTGAGTAACTGTATTCAGCGCAGCCAAGCTGAATCTTTCTTTCAAGCACATATTACACACACAACCATGCCTATTCAGCCATACATTCAAAGAACATTTGCGAGGCTGCATGGCCGAAGATGAAGGAATTTGCAAAGATCATCGCAGGTGCATTCCACCATCTAGGAGTCCTAACCTTTAGTCTGCAAATGGGTTTAAAGAGAAAGCTTAACTTCTATGTTTACTTACAAAAAGTGAAGGCAGGCAGTTTAGGGCTAGCACAAGGAAGAAATTTCAAATGATACAACAAGCAGTCCCAGAAGGCAGTGTATTTCCTAAGTTCTGAGGGTTTTAAGAAGGAGTCAAATGGCCAACTGCAGAGGATGCTGAAAAGCTATTAGACGGAATTAGATGGGATGAGCCAGGAAGCTGTACTAGTCATCACTGATGGCCCTGCCAAATGGGGCAGTCTATGGAACTGGATATTGATTCATTAGTTAATGGCTCTCCCACAGTAGCTAATTCTGGACATTTCGAAGTAAGTTCATCCAACTCAGTGCCTCAAAAGAACTTTGCTGCAATTTTTTACAGCCAAATGAGAGATCAGTTTTCTTAGATGAAATAGACACATATATCTACTCTCTTTTATTCAAGATTTCAACAGCAGTTGCTATGGTGAAAGCCTAAATGAAAACTATCTAGTTCACAATCTTGTCTTTTCTCAAACCTATGAGATTATTATTTTTTAATTTAACCTACCTCCTAATTTAAAAGCAAAACAGAAGCACTAGAAGAGGGAAATACTTCATCTTTCCTAAAGAACTGGATGGGTTTTTTTATGTTGACGAACTGAAACAATTCAATAAGCCATTTCTTCCTGTCACCAGGAAGCTCGGGGTTTAGAGCGAATTTAAAACACAAAATAACCGGTACGGGCCCACTGCCTGATCATGCCTCTTCTAGTCCCAGTGCTGGTCTTGTTCTGATATACTCTCAGTTAGGATTTGCTGGTTCGGATTTAAAGTTTTATAATATTACATATTTCTCATAGATGGGGTGACCATATAATTAATTGTCCAATCCAGGACACTTAGCAGGGGAAAAGGGGAAAGGGGCTATTAAGCTTCTCTAGGACAACAGATGTGAATTGGAACCAGAACAAATGCTCATTTTGCCTGTAGGACAGGAGTCAAAAATGTAATTAAGAAAAATAAGTAAAGTACTGGCCGGTTTGGCTCAGCGGTTGGAGCATCAGCTTGCGGACCAGAGAGTCCTGGGTTCAGTTTCTGCTAGGGGGACATAACAAAAAAAAGAAAAGAAAAGAAAAAAGAAAAATAAGTAAAGCTTTTAAAGACAAATGATTAGGACCCCATAGTCATGATGGCAAATTGAGACCAGAAATTTTTTGACTAAAATCAGAAAGCATGTGGTTCATACAGCTTGCTCATGGGTAGGGTGCAACCCATGAGCACAGCAAGACCACTTTTCTTTTTTAGCTTTTATACTTTCAAGGAAAAAAAAACCTAAAAATACAGCATAATGTGTCTGGGTGCTAAATAAATGCATTCTTGAATCACACGAATACTGTGAAAAAATGAAAACAATCCAGTGTTCCTAACAGAGTCAACCTTGAATTCTGAGGATGAAGCTCCTCAAACTGAGAAAAGGCCAGTAGCCAGGAGGGGTACCTCCCCCTCGAACTGAGAACCAGGACAGCAACCACTTCCTCAGTCTACATGAGGAACCATCTGCGCTGCCGATTTCTCTGAACAAGCTTTTCAACTGAGACTCGACTCTGATTTCCCTTTCCTGTGTCCCCTTCTCTTGTCAAACTGACTCCCTGGTGCCCCTGGGACCTCTTTTCAGAGGCATTCTCCTTCCTCCATTCGCAGGGTCTTAGTGAAGCCAAGCCAGAGCAGACCCTCAGCTAGGTGGACTGCACCATTCGCAGGGTCTTAGTGAAGCCAAGCCAGAGCAGACCCTCAGCTAGGTGGACTGCACCATTCGCAGGGTCTTAGTGAAGCCAAGCCAGAGCAGACCCTCAGCTAGGTGGACTGCACCATTCGCAGGGTCGTAATGAAGCCAAGCCAGAGCAGACCCTCAGCTAGGTGGACTGCACCATTCGCAGGGTCTTAGTGAAGCCAAGCCAGAGCAGACCCTCAGCTAGGTGGACTGCACCATTCGCAGGGTCGTAATGAAGCCAAGCCAGAGCAGTCCTTCAGCTAGGTGGACTGCACCATTCGCAGGGGTCATAGTGAAGCCAAGCCAGAGCAGACCCTCAGCTAGGTGGACTGCACCATTCGCAGGGTCTTAGTGAAGCCAAGCCAGAGCAGACTCTCAGCTAGGTGGACTGCACCATTCGCAGGGGTCGTAATGAAGCCAAGTCAGAGCAGACACTCAGCTAGGTGGACTGCACCATTTTAGAACCTCCCGCAGTAAGCAGCAAGAACAAGGGCCTCTCACTGAGGTCTTCAGTGATTGGTCCCTAACTTCTGAATGTGGGATCTTCGTCTCCTTTGAAGCACAAGATCCTTTCCCGCTGAGATCTTTACATGGGGTGGTTTTCTTTGTCTGGCCCATCCCAATTATGGAGTGATTTATCTCTCTCCACTTCCCACAGCACTTCTAGAACTGCTCTAATATTTTTAAAGAAAAAAGACCAAACACTTCTTTTGAATATGATACTCTTGAGTCAGAAATTCAAAAGTGCCTATTTGCAATATCCATAACCTCAAGATAATATAGCTTGCTGTAATAATAATTTGATTCAGTGTAACCACCCAATAAATTTTAATTTTTAAACAATTCATATTTGTTGTTAGCTTTAAATGTTTTAAAGCAAGTTGTAGAATACAATATATAATGTGATCTTTATTTTGTATAATACTTATTTCATACAATACATATTACATCTATAATATTTTTTGAAAGTCCAAAAGAATACAAATAAAATTGTTTTTTGAAAGTTATTTCTTGTGGAGATAATTGGGGGTTAGAACTAATGATGATAGGGATTTTTATTTTATTTATTTTTATTTTTTGGTATGTGCCCCTAGCGGGAACCGAACCCAGGACTCTCTGGTCTGTAGGTCAACGCTCCAACCGCTGAGCCAAACTAGCCAGCGCATGATAGGAAATTTTTATATCAAATACTTTTGTATCTGAAATTTTTAAAGCATGTACTATTTTACACCATTATTAAAAAAATGAATACTAAATATAGGCAAATCTAATTTTATTAGCTTATATGTATAGCTATAGTGTTCATTTTATAAACCAGAGTCTATATCTTATAGCTCCATAATTGTCTTCTATACAGACTAATAATATGTGGATATGAACTAAATGTTGGGCTGTGAACAAAAATATATTAAAGTAAATCGATCATCATCTGTGATTTGTGCTACACGGTATTTACGTAGAACAGGACTTGCAACAGTGGTGTTCTTCTTTGTTTACACAACTCAGATTTTTGTTATAGAAAGTGTGGAAGCTTTGTCAATAGCAGGCCCCTTCCTACCTATGAACAACGACCACCTGGTCTTCACTCTGTTGCACTGAACCAGCCCACTCTGTTACTTCACCTGCTTGCTTCTCCTGCCATCCCCTTTGCTATCCTTAAAGCAGGCTGTTAAAAATAACTGAGTACCGCTGGGCAAAATCATTTCCCATCAGGCTGAAAAAGATGCTTCTTAAAAAAATGGTTGTTGTTTATACATATAAAAACAATCCCCAATCTGTGAAGACTTTTTGGGAAACCCAACCTATATAGGTTCAGCGGCAATAATATCATGGATTATTTTCTATTCCTTTAAATTTGATACATCTTATAGCCACACAAAATTGGATGTCATTCCTCACAACGAAGAAAGCAATTTTTAAAACCTACCTGTGAACAGCCTCCCCAGCAAACACAGGTCTACCATGATAGATGCTGAGAAAAGACCCACTATTTGACCATGCAAGTCCTACCAAGGTCAGGCTGGTCCCATAAGGGGAGTTACCCTGAGGAGCAGGACACTCCCAATCTGTGACCTGTCTGGCTGTCTCAACTGCAAAGCAACTAGATTGATTCAAGAAGTAATTCCTGGCTTGGGGTTCCGGGTCCCTTGGGATCTGCCAATGCTGCCCTGGGGGTCTGTGCACCTTTGCAGCATTTCAGAAGCTAACTGGAAAGGGTGCGTTTATCTACAATCTGGATGGAAATGACCAATTCCTTCATGTCTTCATGAAAAAATGTATCTGTTCACTTTATTAGCATGCTATCCCAGGCTACTAAAGAGGGTGGGGGAAGGGCAGTGAGCTATGCTGACTGTCAAAATTGTTCCAAAGGCCAATCGACACAAAAGAATCGACTGTTCGGTAGACAAAGCTTTTGATAGTAAAGGATCATTGGAGAAAAATAGTAACAGAAAGGATGTGCCCAAGAATAAAGTTTTGGCAGCCCTGGAAGTCCACCCACTCTTTATCTGTCTCCAGCTAAATTATGTCTCCAGGCATTTCCCCTCCTGCTACCCCAGCGGTCACAGCGGTGGGTTCTAGGACTTACTCTGGTCGGTTGCACTCCCGGACAGCGATTCTGATGCCCCCTCCACACGTTCTTGAGCAGGTTCCAAAGTGAGTCCAACTTCCCCAGGATCCATGAGTCAGGGGGTCCTCCGTTTCTTTGGGAACACAAAACCCAAACTTGCAGTGCTGTATTTAATAAGGGGAACAATGAGGGAGAGCTCGGTGCTTGAGACGTCGTAGGACCCGCTGTCCTTTCAAATACACCCTGTTCTGACTGTTCTCCACGTGCAGGTGTGAAGTAGTACAATTTCATCAGCCACGTGGCGAATGGAATGGGGGGATTTTAATCCCGTACTGATTAATTTTAGGCTGTGTCTTCATTTACAACTTGCTTGGATAAAACTGGCCACTGAGTGGTGGGCTCCAGGCTCTCAGGGTATCTCCAGAGGCCAGCTTCCAGGTGCTCAGGTAGTCTACTCGGAGAAATGAGGAATGGAAATGGGCAGACTAGCTGTGGGCAGGGCCAAATGAGTTACTGGATTTGCAAAGCAAGTTTCCATTAACAAGGCCCAGAGATGTTTCGAGCCTGTTAAAATTTAATGCTTTATTGCTTCCTATGGATTTGAAAACCCAATTTTAATTAAACAGGAAAGAAAAAGAGTGAGTTATAGGCTTCCTATATGCTCACTCCACCCACGCACAGGAACACACTCAAACAAAATGGACACATTACAGAGAGCCCGAACCTTTACTGCTTTTTTGGTTACTAATGGTTTCACATTCTCCAGCCTGGAGCAGGAAGAAGGCCGTGATGTTTACAACAAAACAAAAAATAAAAGTCCTCAGCAGGACAAGAGAGCCAAGAAGCCCATTGCAGCCCCCTGCCTTTGTTGGGTGTGAGGCCCTGACACAAAGCCGAGGTCACTGAGCAGGGGACAAAGAAAGAGTGGCAGCCTGGCGACAGGAGGGCGATGCCCGCGGCTCACTCAGATCTCCAAGCAGAGCTAGTGGCTCTCTGTGATTTATCCACAGGGAGGAGGGCGTGGGGCCGTGAAGGCGGGGGTGGTGGTGGTACACGCAGGCAACGTGGGCAAGAGAGAGGCAGGCGAAGGTCCCAGGAAACACTGGGTGAACAGCAGTTTAAAGAGTGTGATTAAACTTTCCCCATTCGGCTGTGCCTTCTCCCTTGTAATTGTCCTCTTAGTGTATGAGGATACGTCCCTTTCCCTGGGCTATTTGGCTGAGGCTTAAAAGGTTCTGCATCCAAAGAATTCTGGGCAACTCCATACCCAAGAAGTGTGGGCAGAGGCAGAGGTGACCACATCACTCCCTGAAATCACTTTCTATTTGTCTCCACGGCGTTCTTGAACATGTCTTGGAACACATGCACCGAGATACGAGGGAAGCGGCTTAGTCTAGGGCGCCACTATCCAAGAACAATGTAACCCGAGTCACATATTTAAACAAAAATTCCTGGAAGCCACATTAAAACAAGTAAAAAGAAAACCGAAAATAATTTCAATTATCTCTTATTTAGCTCAAAATATCTAAACATCATTTATATTTCTAAACATGATCAACACAAAATTATAAATGAGCTTTAAAATCCTTTTTTCAGACGAGGTTTCAACACCTGGTGTGTTTTTTCACTTATGCACATCTCAGTTCAGACTGACATTTCAAGTGCTCACTAGAGTTTAGCAGGCAAAAGTCTAGTTCCCACAAGGCAACTCTGTGACCTGCGAGTCACTGGACCCTACTTCCACAGATGAAAAACGATGACCTGCCTGCCAAAGCTGTCTTGAGTGTAACATGAACACGCAACAGTGTATCTAAAGCACCTAGCAGCACACAGCTGAGCACATAGGGGACCAGACTTAAATAGAGTTAGTAATAACAATGGCAAACATCGACACAATATTTGTCACCACTGTTCTAAGCATTATAGGTATATCGACTTACTTAACTCTCACAGCATACTAGGAAGTGGGTACTATTATTACCCCATATCTACAGAAAAGAAAATGGAGGCACAGAGGGGTTGAGGCCAAACCTCAGTAAGAGGCAGAGCCGAACCATTAGACAATCTGACTCAAGAATACACTCTTCACTGTGACACAGGCTGCCTCTCTCTTCATTCTGAGCCAATGGGAACAATTTATGACATCTAAAAAAGGACTGAGCCCTGGCCAGTTTGGCTCAGCAGTTACAGCATTGGCCCGTAGACCAGAGAGTCCCAGGTTCGGTTCCTGCTAAGGGCATGTACCTCGGTTAGTTTGTCCCCATCCCCGGTTGGCGTCGTGTGGGTGGCAACCATTCGATGTGTCTCTTTCACATCAATGTTTCTCTCTCTCTCTTTCTCCCTCTGTCCCTCCCGCTCTATCTGAAGAAAAATGCAAAAAATGTCCTCGGGTGAGGATAGAAAATAAAAATAAAAAAAAGACTGAAATTTGAAAAATTTCAAAAGCAAATTAATGAAATGCTTTGGTAAGGCTAAGACAATTGTCTACCTGATATCCATTCTCCCTTTCATCCTTGGTACAGAATCTATTTCCCCAGATTTTTGAACAGATAAGAGTGGGTGAGATTCTAGAAAGGTTCTTTTGCAACTTTGTTCCTTGCCTTTTGGCTTCATTCGGCCTGGAACTCAGCCTTAATGGCTGGAGCTACATCAGCTATTTTGTGACTTTGAGGATGAAGATCATTTGCATATGATAGTGGAGCAGAAAGAAATTAGGAGCCTGGGTCTCTGATGATTTTGTGGAGCTGCCCTAACAGTTCCATAATCTGTTTAAATATAAATTAGATTTTTTGTGTCAGAAAAAAAAGAGTCCATTTGTTTACACCACAGTGAAACCTTGATATAACTGACTAATTCAGCCAAAAGACCATTATATAATAAAGTAGGTTTTCTGAATGAGTATGTTAAAAAATTGACAAATTAGTTAGTTTGCCTGTTTTTACTTATGTAGACATGTTTTTGTAATGAAAATTATGTATGAAAAGTTTAATTTCACAGAAAAGTTTTCTATATGTATTACTATAACTTTAAATGGATACTGAATAGGTCTATTAAATGCATGCATTTATCAGTCACCATGAATAAACAAACGCATACGACTGGGGCATGACTTCGTGCATGTGAGAACATCGGCCTCAACGTGTTAAAACTGCTATGGAGCCCTGGCCAGTTTTGCTCAGTGGTTAGAGCATCGGCCTGCGGTCCAGAGAGGCCCAGGTTTGGTTCCCACTAAGGGCACGTACCTCGGTTGCAGTTTGTCCCCGGCCCTAGTTGGTCGTGCGGGTGGCAGCCACTCGATGTGTCCCTTTCACGTTGATGTTTCTCTCTCTCTCTCTTCCTCTTTCTCCCTCCCGCTCTATTTGAACAAAAAAATGAAAAAATGTCCTTGGGTAAGGATAAAAAAAAAAAAAAAAAACTGCTATGGAAAGTCACTCCACAAGGCAACAGAACCAATTACTGAGTGCAATGCAGTGTGATCATGTGCTAATCATTCCCCAAACATTGTTTATGAGCAGTGGCTCTTGGATTTAAATATGTAGACTATAGTTATAGATACCTAATATTTATTTATTATGTCAGCAAAATTACTACGGTGTTTTTTCCAAAACACGGTCTATTTGCTAAAATTTGTTAAAATAACAGTGAGCCCTGGCCGGTTTGGCTCAGCGGTTAAAGCGTTGGCCTGCGGTCTGGAGAGACCCGGGTTCGGTTCCTGCTAAGGGCACGGACCTCGGTTGCAGTTTGTCCCTGGCCCTGGTTGGGTTGTGTGGGTGGCAACCACTTGATATGTCCCTTTCACATCGATGTTTCTCTCTCTCTCTCTCCCTCCCACTCTATCTGAACAAAATATCGAAAAATGTCCTCGGGTGAGGATTAAAAAAAATAATAATAACAGTGAGCCAGGCCAGTATGGCTCAGTGGTTGAGCATCGACCTGTGCACCAAGAGGTCGCTGGTTCGATCAGGGTCCATGCCAGGGTTTCAGGCTTGATCCCTGGTAGGGGGCATGCAGGAGGCAGCCGATCAATGTTTCGCTCTCATAGATGTTTCTATCTCTTCCTCTTCCTTCTGTTCTCTAAAAATCAATAAAAAAATAAACTTTAAAAAAATCACAGTGAATTAATAACAAAAAAATAACCGGTTAATTTAATTATAAGCCAATCTTGGTTAAAAGCATTTTAAAATTAACAGGGTGTTAATATTCACATATGACACATGGACCAGGAATTTTGTCTACTAAATCCGAAGCCCGTTAAATCAAGGTCTGCAGAATCAAGGGCTCATTGTACTATAACTGGGTCTCACCTGAACAAAATTTCTAATTAATACATAACTGAGGTCACAGCTATCGCTCAAATTCAGCCTTTAAGTCTTGGTGCCAGATACACGTTTTGTAAATTCTACAAAGTAACAACAACAAGGACAAAAATCCCCACCACGATTCATGGGGTTTAAAAAGAAGAAATACCTGCAAATACATTTTTTCTCCTCTTGACACTAAACTTTCAGTCTGTTGATATCTCTATGCTGCAGACTGTACTTCCACATAAGAATAAACAATCAATTTCAGAGCGAAATGAGAACACAGGTGCTACCACTCAGCGCTGCCCTGAAATGTCCTAACATGGTCCCTTTTCAAAAGAAAACTTCTAATTGAAAAGTGGTCTGCAAGGAACATGTCTCACTGAGGTGACCACTGATGGGGTTCAGTAGAGAGGAAGAACCCCAGAGGGACAGGGGAAGTGCCTGGGGTGACAGAGGCCGGAAATCAGGGCTGTTTGGCAAATATGTATCAAGATAATCCATTTTCCAGGCAAAGCTAACAAACGATAATTACATACTGGAATCGCCCTTACATCATAACAAAGCATTAACTAGCTAGTGGAGTCCCGGCCAAAATACAGTCAGCCTTTCCTAAGAGGGTCCAGAACCATACACAGGATATTTTCCCTAAATAATCCCCAAGTCCCTTAAAGAAAAGAGGTTGGAAAAGGGACCTGAGGATCAATTTCAGCCCACGGAGGCTTAAAACAAAAGTTTCAAACCTGAGACCCACAAACAGGGTTTAAATAAAAATATTAATGGACTTAGGAGAATGGAGAAAATAAAGAGACAGTCATTCATCAAAAGAGCCTGTGTCAGCAGCCCAAGAGACATCACTGCCGAGGAAGCAGGGAAGAGAGAAGAGGAAGAAAAAAATGAACCCTTCAGCAAAGGGAGTCAGAATTTGCTAGAGAAAAGGCATATGGTTTTACTGCCAATTTTATAAAAACAAAATGAGAGAACAGAAAGAAATGCTATGCCAACATATATCCCACCATCTCTGGCATTTGTAAAATGCATAAATACTCTTTGGGAGAATAAACACACATATACCCACATCTTTAGTAAAAGCTACTAGACTTGGCCATTTTTCTTTTTTTTCCCCACTTCTCTAAAACACAACTAGAAGTGGGCCTATCGTTTTCTTCTCAGAGCTGCTTCTCTGAAGGGGCTCTGCATCCGCCCCTGGGATGCCCCGAAGTCCCTCACTGCTGAACGCAAGCTTTCACCAAAACAGTCTTCTGCAAGATCTCCCAAAGATCCCACCCCTCAGTGTAAGAGTACCCTGCAATCCCTCGTCTCCTGCTTCTGTTACAAAAACAGAAGATTAGAAAAAGACACAGCAGACATCCTCCCAGTCCTTCTGTGTTCCAGCACTGGCTGGGATACCACATCACTGCACACCACTCGGCAGCCTGTTCACGACAGTTTTACTAACTATATTCACTTCTTCCTTTTTTTGAGAATCCTTCTTCGTTATAGTTTTCTAAGCAACAGCATGTGTCAGAAATAGACATATTAGGTGGGTGCAGATTGACTAAAAACCACAACACAGTACTAGTGGTTTTTCTGAGATTAAACAGTTTCAATTTAAGTAATATAGTTGGCTGGTTCTAAGTCAAGCCAACTAACCAAGTCATCAACAGGGGTATCATGTCTACTGGCATCCCCGTCAACTGGTGGCAGCTGTCTGGGTCACTGTGTTTAGAAGGACTCTTCATTTCACGAGTGAATTCTTAAAGGCTGTCATAAAAACCTAAGAACCCAATCATATTCCTTTCCACTCAAAGCTACGATCCTCTGGCCATCAACACATTGAGTTAAATGTCCCATGAAAAGTGAAAGATTAGCTTTGACCAAGGACATGTATTTCTTTTTAAGCTAATGAAAAGCACAAAGCTTGTTACACCTATGTCTGCATGCAGTTTTGGTGAGGTTGTTATCGGGGAAAGGTGTACACTTCATTGCCGAAGTCCTAGCCATTCAGAGGTGATCATTTGAGCTGACTTAGTCACCAAGTCAAGTATAAAATCATCTTCATTGTAATTTTTTATTTTTGTATTGAACTTTGTGTTTTTCAAATCACTTTCCTGCCCTCCAGCTCATGTAACTTTATAACCACCCTGAGAGATGAGTGAAGACACCACGAGCCCTCCTGTTTGACCAATAGAAACTGAAGCTCCGTGATGAGCATGACAGGCCCCTTCAGTCTCCTCAGACCGAACAAGGGAGGAAGTCAGGAGGGCAGGCTCCAGAGTCGGGGGCTCTGCCCTGAACGAAATGTGCGATCATGGGCAAGTCACTTCTCTCTTCTGTTCCCTCTCTGTGAGTCGGGGAAGAGATCAGATCTGCCAGCTGTTCAGGGCCCCTCCATGGACGCCCAGTGCTTGTTCTCTCCAAGGAAAAGTAGAGGGAAAAATGTGAGATAAGAATCAAATATTAAAAGTGAAGAACGTAAACAATGGGAAGAAGACAGAAGACAGGAAACATACATGTAAGAAAGACAAAAGACTCGGGATAGCATCCAGGCATCGCATCATTGGTAAGTGACAGAATGCCATTTTCCATATGGATTGAAAAAATTTATGGTTTATATCTAAAACATTTTCTAGTCAACTTTTTGGGTGCAGATGTTGATATCACCAACACAGTACCTTTTTTATTTTTATGGCTACCAGGTGAAGCAGGTTGCATCAATCATACTCCGAGGTGCATGGGACATTGTTGCCATTAGGCCGTGAAGTAGCAGATTTTGTTTGGTTACTAACAAACATAAGTGGGAACCATGAAAACCACTTGAGAATTTGGACTTGGTTACATCCCAGGAGACATCATCACTTCTTAAAGGGACAAAGGTTGGGAAATGCCTGGTACCAGTAGTGAACACTGTAAGTTCACTGTATTTCTGCATTTTGATTTTAAGATGCTTCATCATATACTAGTCGATTTCCACTGCCACCTCCAAAAGAGACAGAAAGAAGACAAAGAAGTTCTACCCCACAATAAGTGTATCCATAAACTGAAGAGCACACTGGAATTAAGAAATGTTAAAATGAGAAAAAGTATGCCTTAAAATGAAGGCAATAGTGATAGTTATGTCTATAGTATCGATATTACACAAGAATGTTAAGTTTTTACAATTTTCAATAGTAAAACTGAATCCCTTGCCTCAAAGAAGTATTCAGCTAAGACACGCTGTGCTAACTCACGCTGAGCTGTCTGAGCCTGCTGAGCCCTTGTCCGTCTCTGCCCCAGAAGAAGGAAGGGTCGGGCGATACTTGCCTTTCCGGGCTCACACTCGGTCCCGTCCGCCCAGGGCGTGTGCTGAGTCCGGCAGCCTTTGCCTGGTCCATCCTCTCCTCCTCCTCCATCCGTGTTACTGCACCAGAGTCGCTGACATTGCATCTGCTTATTTAGTGACATGACAATTCAGTGACATGATTAGATGACATCAAACAAGGCAAGGATTACTTTCAATGATTGTTTTGTCAGTGATATAGTCTAGATTGGAAAGGAATTTTATTTATTGGTATGATAAGTGATCAAATATCCCAAGGGAAACAGAGAGCCCACGAGACACATTTCTATGGCTGGTGGGACTTGAGATGGTGTGGAAAAGAGCCTTCAGGGCGCCCGACACCACGTCTTCTGGTCCTACTGAGTCCTGCCTGTGCAGAGGCAAAGGCGCATGCTCATACTGCAGGCGTGTGATGAGCTCACGCTGCAGGTGTGTGATGAGCTTAGGCTGTGAGGAGCGGTGGCCGAGATCAGGTGGGTATGTGAGTTTAGGGGTGGCTGAGTGCACGCCTAGAGTTTTCTCCCTGCAGGCTCCGTAATACCACGATCACGTGGCAGCTCTCTTCTAGTGTGGGAGGGATTATCAGTGGACAATATCGGGAAAATGTCAGACATACAAAAAGTCCAAACAACAACATAGTGGATGGCCCTGCAGCCACCACCCAACTAAAGACAGGAAATGTCACAGGCCCTGCTGCAGGCCGGGCACGGTCCTCTCAAGCCCAAAGCCCTCCTCCTCCAGAGGCGGCCATCATTTCATCCTTCTCATTGCTTTTACCACAAATGTTTAAGTATCAACCCACAGTGTACATTTCAACCTGAAGCGAACAAGGGCATTCAGCATTCAGGGCACACCGCCAGGCCTGATTTTTAGATTTACACGAGTCGATATATTTAGCTCTGTTTCAGAGTATACATTTTAAAGACTCTTCCCCCTGATCATTACACTAAACCATGTTCATAAAAATTTAGAAAGTACTAATAATTTATTTTTTTATATAGAAAAGCCTCAAACTCCCCAGTCTTTCTAGTAGTTTCCTGCCTCTGCAGTTGAGAACATACTCTACAAAATAATTATCTATCCTGTTATTTTAACTTAAAAAAATATATCAGGATCATGTTCTCATGTGTGGTTAATTTTTAATTGTTGTACAGTATTCCATTAAATGGAGATACCATAATTGGCTGAACCTTTCTATTATTGGGCATTTGGATTCCTCCTAACGTTTACCATCATGTGTAACACAAAAATGAATATAATCATGAGTGGATCTGACTCAAAATCTTTTATTATCTCCACAGAATCACTGTACTTCCCAGTTCACCCTGCTATCTCTGACAGGTCGCCCAGCAAAACACACACATGTATCCAATGAGACAGAATGGGCCACCTCAAAGGAGCACAGTTCTGCTCATATGAAAACTGATAGCTACTGGGTCACATCACTGATCCAAGTGTCCACAACACAGACATCGAAATAGCACCCACCCACCAGCTCAGCTACAACCAGAAATGATTTCAAGGTGGCCACAGAACACAGCTTTGACAAGCTAAGACACGGAAACAGGTCTGTCTCGTGAATTATTTTTACTGAATCGAGAAGAGTCCCTATAAAAAGGTCACCTAGACAGGTCCATGGGCATGAAGAGAGACCAGGAGAGAACAGGGCTGAGCTGTGCCACTACACCAGCTCTGCAAGTTGTCCTCCCGGAGCCTCGCTTCCCACCTGTACGTTAGCAACCATAATGCATCCCCGTGTTGGCCTGTCACGAGAGAAATGAGAAAGCAGGGAGAGCACCATCTAGCAGTGAGTAAGAGCTGTGACTACTGACCCCATCGTCATCACTGTTACCACTAGGAGTCAATGGACCGTTCTCAACTTTTCCGTGAGTGGTTTATATGGGAGTGAAAATTTAATGGAAAACTAGGAATAAAAAGAAGTCCAGAATCAACTCCCAACACTTACCATATATGGGCACACCTGAGAACCTTGTCCAAAAATCAATTCGCATTGTTTATCCACGTTGTAAAGGAGGCCGGGCAGCTGGGAAGGCAAAGTGTAGGCTCTGGACGCAGGTTGGTTAGACAAACACTCGCCACCATCACCGCTGGAAAAAGCAAGAGATGCAGATGGGAGAGTGCTGGGTGACACGTGACTTGTCAACACCTCCAGATGCAAAGGAAAGCCATCTGCCACTATAATAGATCTGCTTTATTCTTTTCATCCAAGGTTAAGTCTAGAAGCTGAAGTTATATGTTTTGGTGTATATTTGTTTGTATACCTGTTGGCTATGTATACTACACAGCCAGTAGAAAATATGTATCTGTTGTAGCATTTTTCACACTTCAGGGCAATTATCTTTTCATTCATTCATTCATTCATTCATTCATTCATTCATTCATTCATTCACTATCTTCTCCAATAGACTATAAGCTTCTTAGGGACAAAGACAGTGTTTTGTTGTTGTTGTTGTGATTGATCCTCATCCAAGGATATTTTTCCATTGATTTTTAGAGAGAGTGGGAGGGATGGAGAGAGGGAGCGAGAGAGAGGAACATCGATATAAGAGAGACACAACTGGCTGCCTCCGACACGCGCCCTGACTGGGGCCAGGGTTCAAACCTGCAAGCCAGGTACATGTCTTTGATCAGGAATCGAACCCGAGACCCTTTGGTCCAAGGGCTGACACTATAACCACTGAGCACACCGGCCAGGGCAAAGATAGTCTTTTTCATCTTCCATAACACCAGATGTTTAGTAAATGTTTGCTGAATAGATGAGTGAGTTAATCAACAACTATGGCAAGAAACACCTTAGGCCACCTGATTAAAGAGGAAGAAGAGCAACCCTCTAGTTCTTTGGACTTTTCTACAAACACTTCTGGAAAATTCACCCCCAGTGAGTTCTGATTAATAAAGCCCCCTTCTTTCCTGTGGCTTGAGAAATATACACCCGGTGACCTTAGGACAATCACTTAACCTTTCGTACTTCTGGGAGAGAAAAGCAATAAATCTGTGACACAGGAATATTGTATAATGTAATTGGATCTTTGAGCAGCCTGGCAGGAAGCTTAAAAAACAAAACAAGAAAAGAGAGAAGGAGAGAGAGAGGAGAGAGCGAAGAGAGGAGAGAGAGAGCCTCCGTTCAACAACAGGGAGGGCTGCTGTAATCTCTTCCACCCGGATGAACCTTCTTCAGGATTGTCTCACTGTCCTACCCCTTTCCAAGCCAAAATGACTACGTTAAAGCCCATAAACATCTGTGGCCTTCCTGCATCATGTAATCATATTCATGGCCCCTCCCCCAAGACCTGAACAGATGTTCTAGCTTTACCAGGAATAAAGCAACGTGTGTATACATTCTCTGTAAGATCCTAATCTTCCTTTTAGCTCAGTCTGTAATCTAATCTCAGGCAAGGACATGAACTACCCAGATGGCAGAGAGTGTTTTTTTTTCCTCCTCCAAGGAATGTCAACAAAAATAACAACTCGAAAAGAATGCTTAACTCTACATTTTCTTTCCCACAATTAGTTCACTACATTGAAGTCAGACACCAGAAGTCTGTGCTAAAAAAAAGTTCAAGTCTTACTCTAAAAATTCAGTGATGTATTTTCGACTGCACTTTGACCACATCCAGGGCTTGGTATAGAAGTTCAAAGTTGGAGCCATGACATGCTGGGGACTCTTCACTCCTTCTTCTTTGCACTTATTGCTGTCGTCATGAGGCATATTAAACCTAAGGCCAGTGAGACAAGGATGAGAATGTCAACAAACACCACGGATCGAGCTGTTATAACTGCTTTCAAGAATGCACCTGTCTAAAAACAATTTTTCAACTGACTCCTGCATTGTGGATAAAAACCTGAATCCTGGTGAGCGAAACAAAACTTCCTATACAAAGCATTGATAAAACATAATTCCCGCTCAATTTAAGACAAAGCATCTTTAACGTATAAAATAAAGATGTGGATTGGGCGCTTTGTGTCAGAAGTGTACTTTTTGGAATTGCAGAGGCTCTGAACGTGCTGTAGTTGGTGCTAGAATACAGTAGTTGGAATTCCTAAGAAGCAGTTAACAGCCTATTTACAGAGTCAAGAATTTGGCAGGTTATGATAACGTTGTGAATAAAAAGAGTCCGTCAAGTGTCAAAACTTGTAGCCAAAAGCTTCCTAAATAAAAGGCTCGCTGTGGGTCTCTGCATCTTCTCCTCCTGTTCGGGTCAGGTGGGCAAGTGACGTAACCCTGTAGGTATACCATTATAAAGGCATGCAAAGTCCATGCACAGTAAAACCCCTTCAGGGAGGCTGCCAGCATGGGAACCAGAGATATGCTTATTCAATTGGCTTAACTCAAAGATGGCAAAGAATTTCATGCTTCATGCAAATGCCAATTGATTGGTACTGGCTTCCTGAAAAGTTGGGCACAAAGGATTCTTAAATTAATCCAGGTTGCCACCATCCCCTCTCTCCCCCCAGAAGGCTATGATGAGGTATCAATATCCTCTTGGGTCTGGGAGAGAACTCAGCAGCAGCCTTGATACATATTTGCCAGAAGAGCGAAGGGGGGGACGGCAGGAAGCATTTGTCAATCCAGAAACATCAGCTGTATGATCAACAGGCCATTCCAGCTTGAATAATTATCCACCGGCCAACAAGCTCGGAGGGCGTGTCCTCTCTGGATGACTTTCCCCAATCACAAATTTGATGCCTATGAAAAATTTAGCATTTAGGGAGGAATTTCCTTCACTAGTTCATCTTGAAATATGGAAATAAGTGAGTCAGATAAAAGTAAAAGCTGGAATAAAAGTCTGTGAATTCTGGTCTGTTGATTTCTTGGGTTTGGTTTTCTTTTTCTATTAAAAATTTGGGCCCCACAGTAACTGTCAGATAGAATAACTGCCTGATGGAAATTGTGAGATGGAAAAACTCAAGCTGTCTTGTTTGTACTTAAAAGGAGCTCTTAATGCTTGTGAGTCTGTTTCCTTAAAAGAATGACTCCCGGGTTTCTAGGTCCCAGCTGCACAGCCAGTATTCTGCCTGTACCAACAAAGCCTGCACAAGCAAAGCATCCATATCTTAGTTTAGCTGTTTGGTTCTCTGTGGTGCAAAGGAGCTGGTGTTTACTCCTCGCCCCCACCAAGACTTGACAAAATCCAGTCTATTTCATCATGCAAACAGAAAACTCATTTTCATTCAAATATCAGGCACATTTGCTCATAGCAGGGGCTAGACAATAATAAATATTCATTAAGCACTTGCTAAAGTTTGTTTTTTTCATTCACAACATACCGGGCAGTGTATTGAATATGTCATTTGCTTTATTTCACTTAATTACCTATTTGACCCAATGAGTAAATCAATAGCTGTCCCCGTCTTACAGCTACAAAAACTGAGCTGTGGAGGGTTAATTACTTTGTTGAAGTCAAAAGGCCACTGAGATTGGGGAGCTGGGACTGGAACCCACTTCAGTCTGATTCTGCAACCTCGTTTTGGAATAGGTGTAACCTGTCTGTATTCCCTTCTGTTGGATGAGCTGTGGGAGATTTGTCAGGAACACTGTGAAAAGGTTTCTGTATCCAACAGAGACTCAGTCACCTCCCCAACTCTTCCTCTGGGACTCTGTGTGTCTATGAAGCTGTACAGAAAGCAGGAGCTATTTTTGAAGCATCCAATGATGCTCAACAGACACATGAGTAATTGCTTTCTTTCCCCAATAGCTGTTGGGTATTTTATCATCAGAAAGTCATGACTGGAACAATGTAACAAGTATAATTTTTAAAAGGTTCATTAGAAAACCTGTGAATTTCACTTTCCTTCAATGTGAGTGAACCTAACCATAGGAGACAAAGCTCCAAAACAAAAACAATTCATTCAAGGGTTAGAAATATACTTTTTGTTTAACAACTCACATCATTCACCAATTATTTCCTATTTCACTTCCTGACACTTTTGAGATGGGGTATATATGTATTATCCCTACCTTGCAGGTGGGGAAATAGCATACATTTTTGTCAAGTCAAACAGAACTTGGTATCTGGCCCCCAGCCGACTTCTGTCTCAGAGCAGGCACCCAGCATGACACTGCTAAGTCACACAGAGCAGTAACGATACCTCCCTGCGGGAATGATGAGGACTACAGGAGATCGTGCAAAGGAAACTCCTGTAACAATGCCAACAACAGGCTTTGTGTAGGGAAGATGCTTGTGAACTAGTCGCTGAGGTTTCTTCACAGCTGAAAATATTCAGTTTTTGCTACTAAAATTCTCACTTTCCTCAAAATGTCAACTTTATACACTGACTGTCTAAAAGAAGTTTATAAGCTCTTGTTGGAAAGAAATTAACAATATTTCTTCAAATGGTATATTTTTCTTAGCCATATATTGGGGAGAAATGTTAATCTGTTAATGAAAATTCTCTGCCCTTTGAATACATTCCTGGCTCTGTAACTTGTCCTATTCCATTTCCTAGGAAAGGAATACCTGCCCTGTGGAAATGCCCCCTACTCTTCGTGGTCAAATCTACCCTTTACTTAAAGTTCTAAAAAAAAGTTGACTAAATTTTATGGAAAATAAACCAAAATTCCTAAAAGATTCTATTAAAGTAAGTTTGGGAAAACTGAGTTAAGCAGAACCAACAATTTAATACAGAACTTGTCAGAGCCTTTACTTTATACCATTTAGCCTTGTGACCCCAACTGGGGATAGACTGAAAACACATTTTTAAAAATCATTTGACAGATACTACCCTTGATCGTAGCCAAAAAGCCGAGAAGCAACCTGGAGAGTATTCTGCCAAGTGTTAGAGCAACGTGAATGTCACATGATTTCACTTATACCTGGAATCTAATGAACAAGATACACTAACAAAATAGAAAGAGACATAGGTACAGAGAACAGACTGACAGCTGTCAGAAGGGAGGGGTTTGGGGGCCGGGCGAAAAAACTGAAGGCATTAGGAAGTACCAACTACAGGCACCTACAGAACAGTCACAGAGATGTAGACTACAGCACAGGGAATACAGTCCATAATATCATGATGACTTGTATGGGGCCAGGTGGGTACCTGAAGTAGCAGGGGGACCACTCTGGAAAGTACACGGTTTTCTTTTTTTTATCCTCACCTGAGAACATTTTTCCATTTTTTGTTCAGATAGAGTAGGAGGGAGAGAGAGGAAGAGAGAGAGAGAGAGAGAGAAACATCGATGTGAAGGGACACATTGAGTGGCTGCCACCTGCACAACCAACCAGGGCCGGGGACAAACTGCAACCGAGGTACGTGCCCCTAGCGGGAACTGAACCCTGGTCTCTCTGGATCGCAGGCCGACGCTCTAACCGCGGAGCCAAACCGGCCAGGGCAGTAGTACATGGTTTTCTAACTATGTTGCTGTACACCTGAAACTGATACAGAATAACACTAAATGTTGACTGTAATTGAAAAATAAAAAAAATCATAACTACAAAATTTCTTTCTTTCCACTTTCTTTTGGAAATAGTGTTAAAGCCCTTGTGCTCTGGGAAACACTGGTGGGGTCAGTCGTTCCCACACTGAGTTCTAACACATCCTTGTCTCCTATTAACACCTCAGAAGCCAAAGGACGGAAAGGAAGCGGACTAAGAGGACTCGGCCCCCAAGACAAAAAGACGAAAGCCAAGCCTCTCTGCTATAAATAATGGGTGTCTGAGAACATTTCCTTTAGAGAAAAGAAAGGCTATGCTCTTAAAATATGCTTGAAAGGTACACATTTCTAAATATACTCATTATACGTTGAACTGAATTGGAGAGAGTCTGCATGCGCCGCTGGGTTTGTGCCCAGCACGGCACACTGCACAGAGGTGCCTTCAAAACGCCGGTGGACGACGGATCTTGCTTAATAGATGATTTAGTTACAAAGTTAATATCCACATGAAAATTGATATACAACTATACTACTGACATCTGAGAAAATGATTTCCAAAGATATCATTTAATCATTCTAGAAAGAAAATACTGCAGCTCAAATATCAGCATAACTCCAGCCAATTTACACTATTTGGCCACGTCCTCACCTCGCCTCTGAAAGAAGAAAGAGGAAAGCCCGTTTCGTAATCAGCGCTTAGCAACCAAAATCGGTGTTTTCTTTGCTCTCTTTGCTCATTCTCTTCCATGAAAGAGGGGTGGCCCTGTCTGAATTACAGACTTGTATAACTAGACCCAGGAATGCTTCGGGTTTGTGAAAATCTTGTGAGCTTTGGCAACGAGGGGCACCCTCCTAGACTAAGATGTCAAGTCAGAAAAGTCCTCCTGGCTGACATACCTTTTGCTTCAATGGGCGGATCAGAAAGGCCCCCCACTTCCCACAGGAAAGGAGAATGCCAGACTTTTCAGAAAAAGTGTGCAGTTGAACCAGAGCCACGCGGGCTGCACCTACGAGGGCGCACTGCGTTCACTCAGCTTTCCGAAGTCAGTTACTTCTCCCGACTAGGCTCAAAGCTCCTCCATCCTCAGATTCTACCACGACTCAAGAAGTGTCTCTCACCCTCTCAAGTCAAGGAAAGGCTCACTGTTGCGAAGGAACAACAGTTTTAGGTCACTCTGAATTCAATGAAAATACGGAAAGGACACGTACAGGTGGCCCAGTTCGTGGGCTATGGTAAAAGCCGTGCTCAGTCCATTGTCCTCGCTGATAGAGCAGCTCCTGACCGGATCACAGAGCGTTCCCAGTTCAGCCAGGCCTGCGGGAAGCAAGGACAGGGATTTACGGTCCTGGCGAGAATACGAACAGGCAGGAAAGAGTGACAGCCACGGAGATACGCACAGCAGACTCACCTAAGGTGTCACATTTGTCGTGGGATCTGCAGATATCCTGTCTGAAAGCAAAACAGACTTAGGGCCTTGATGACACCACAGAGGAAATATCAGTACAAGTCAACGCTTCAGAGCCGGTCAGGAATTCTCAACAGCACCCCCTTGGGGGACGGGTGACAGAGAGCAAACACACAGGCCGGGGTTTGGAAATCACTGATTTCGGGAGAAAAACGCCCATGGAAAGGTCTTCTCCGGCCTCAGGGGCGGCCACGGAACAGCACAGACCTGTCCGACCAGGGTTTTCCTCACAGGGCAGAGGGAGTGATCCCAGCTTCTCAGCTAAGCCTCCCCACGCACACGCCCTTCCTTCCGTCCACGCGTGGCGCCCACGCCGGAGGGCGCAGCGGCGGCAGCACGGGGCCGCAGCCTCTCGGTTGCCCGTACAGCTCTTAAACTATTTTTGAGGTAAGACCTACCATTAAAAAATTGAGTTCCCTTTAAAGAAAAATCCCTATCTCCGACTTCTTGCAAAATCCCAAAAGTTGGCCACCCTGGGACTCTCTCCTGGCTGGGACCAACCGCCCAGTCTGCAGAGCCGATGCCACTCTGGGCGGCCACTGCCTCGCAGGCCTGCCTGACACTTTTCCTGTCCATCTGGCCCCTACCCCCTATGGGGAAGTGGTTCCCAACGGGGGTGATTCTGCATCCCCTCCCCCGCCCGCAGAGGGCATTTGCAACTTGTGCGGTCTGAGGACACCGCAGGCTGTCACAGCGGAGAGGAGGCACCGTACTGGCAACAGTGGGCAGAGCCCCAGGACGCTGCTCAGCACCCTGCAAGCACAGGCCGGCCCCCCAGCAGGAACTGTCTGCTCCCCAAATCAGCAGTGCTGAGGCTGAAGACCCTCGTGCGGGAGCTGCCACCCGAATACACAACCTCACCCCTCAGCTGGACTGGAAGCAGAGCCCTGAAGATAAGAACCCCGTGTGAAAAAAAAGCAGCCCTGGCCAGTTTGGCTCAGTGGTTGGAGCATCGACCTGTGGTCCAGGGAGACCGGGGTTCGGTTCCCACTAAGGGCACGTACCTCGGTTGTGGTTTGTTTCCGGCCCTGGTTGGTTGTGCAGGTGGCAGCCACTCGATGTGTCCCTTTCACGTCGATGTTTCTCTCTCTCTCTGTTCCTCTCTCTCTCTGTTCCTCTCTCTCTCCCTCCCACTCTATCTGAACAAAAAAAAATGGAAAAATGTCCTTGGGAAAAAAAAAAGATAAGAACCCCGTACCTCGTGATGAGGACAGCAGTGTCATGCTGGATTCCACCCGGATTGTTCTTTGAATGCTGCCACTGGCAAAAGTTTCGTAGTGTTGTCTGAGCATTAAAAGATATGGCAGGTCCTTCCTAAATACAGAAAAGAATGAGGGTCGGTCTGCTGTACCAATTACATATGCCATTTCGGATACAGATAGAAGAAAGAAAAAAACTTTATTACCTGTTCATTATGAATCACAACTAAGTTCACAACAACAATATTAATTAAATTTCCAATACTGGGGTCTTTATAGATAGAGGCTACCTGCAACCGAGATAAATTTTTCAAAGTTAATTGTGAACTCTGTGTAAGCAACAAGCAATTCACTTCTCATGTGGGCTCCACCGCTTTCTAATGTCATGCAATGTATGCGTTTTTCAGTTCTGAATTTTCATTCATTCCACAAACATTTATTAAAACTATCTTTGTAAAATCACTCATAGATGGAAGTTTTAAATAATAATAAATCCTATAAATAATAAATAGTAATAAATTTAAGGTATTTTCTTTAAACATGCACGGCCATGCAACTTAATAGTTCTGTGTGCCAAAACACCAGATATTAACTCTTGATCCCAGCTGAAGTCTCAGATTGCCAAAATACAGATCTCACAGTGACCACATCTCTAAAAATACTGCTGCCCTGCCGTGTACCACCATCTGTGTTCTCCACAGCCCGGTAACCTTTCTTTCCCATCAGCATTGTTAATTCTGAGAGCTAACATTCACTGAATGCTTATTGCGCACCAGATCTCGCTGAAAACCGCATATGCCTTTGCTTTTCATCTCGTAGTAAAACTCTGTGCTGGGTATCGTTCTAATCTGCACTCAAGCAACGAGGACACTAAGGCTCAGAGAAAGTAAGTGACTCACCCAAGACTGTATACAGTGGCGAGCAGCAGAACCAGAACGTTCTATCTCTGTCATTGTGACCCAATGTCCATGCTCGCAATGAAAATCCTTAGGACAGGTATGAATTTAGGGGTTGGAAATGGAGCTGAGTCCGTGCAAGGTCTGATTAGATTTTTCTTTGTTTGCTCCGGAAGAGGAGACAGCTGGGGCACGGGACTGAGCCTCATGAAGTGGGGTAGTGGGAGGGTTGAGGGTAGGCGGGTTGCCCCATGGGGTGGGGGCCAATGGGCGGCTGGTTGGCAGCAGTGAGGGAAAGACAAGGAGAACCATAGGCCAGGGAGGGGGAAGAAGAAACTAAAGCAATGTTCCCCGACATGGCTGCTTTCCACATCATTTGTGGAATATATAAAAAGCAGATTCCTGTTCAAATAAATTAGGATTGATGCATTGAAAGGATGCTATGCTGAGGCTTAACGGTGAATGAGGGTGTGTGTGGTCACAGAGGCTGCTCTAGAACACAATCTCCAGGATTTCAAGAAAAAAGCGACGTGTGAAGCAGTCTAGGACAATGCTCCATTTCTGCCTGAGAAAAAGTCGTATATGCAAACGTATGCGCCCAAGGAATCAGGGCTGCGCGCGGAGCACGGAGCTGGCGAGGCCCCGCCGGGCGTGCTGTCAGTGCCAAACACACTGGATCTTGAGGGCTTAGTACGAAACAAATTAAAATACCTCATTAATGATTTTAGTACGAAACAAATTAAAATATCTCATTAATGATTAAGTAATATTGGGATATAAAATGCATTATTAAAATTAATTTTATCTAGTTGTTTTATTTCATGTGGCTACTAGAAAATTTAAAGCCGTATGTGGCTTACATTAGGTCTCTATTGGGCAGACTTGTTTAGAAACATGCAAAAAAACTTAGTAGTGGTGGCCTCTGGGAAGGGTTTGGGAGCTTGAGGAGGGAAAGACAGTTATTCTTCATTAATGGTCCTTTGTTATGCCTGATTTTCTAAATTATGCAAATGTACTGCTCTTTCGGTTCAGCATGGGAATAGAACAATGGAGTGAGCGGTTTCCAGGCCTCGCCCCGCCCCGTGCTGCTCAGAATCCCGGGGAAGAGGCAGGCGGGAGCTGCACAACCGGCCCCCAAACCTCTTCCCGGAGCCCCGCCCCTGGCTGCGCAAGCTCACATGTCAGACAAAGCACTGGGGTTAGCGACTGGACCAGCTAAATGTCACACCTGTCTCCCCGCCTTCACGCCACCAGGCGAGTGGCCTAACTCTGAGGCTCAGTGTTCCTGTTTATAAAATGGGATGATAATCCCACCTAGCAGAGTTGCCCGGAGGATTAGAAATGATGCCTTTTAAGTAAGAAGCACACTGTCTAACACAGAAGAAACACTCAATATTGATAACAACCATTACTGTCACAAAACGGCAACCCATGAATAATCTTAGGTTTTCAGCCACTTGCCTGAATCCTTGAAATGCCAGCCCTGAATGAGCCTCCAAAGCCCTGCGTGGAAACCCATCCCCCAGGACACGTTTAGGGACCTCATAAATCACCTTCTTTTCACATACTTACAATTGACATTAAAGTTAAAGCATAGTGTTGAAGGTTTGCTCCATGGTATAAAATCATTCTTCGGTCTGCCACCACCATCACTTCTACAAACCGTGCATAGGATAAAGAACGTTTTGTTCTTCTGTGGGTCCTCTTTTCTCTGGTGCTGTCCGTCTTGTTGCCAGAGGCAGAAAGCGCCCGTGTCGCTAAGCTGCTTTTGAAGACAGCCACATCATCAGCCAGGGTACTCCTTCCTTCCCACGTCCTTCTTCTCCTCTGCCTCTCGTCCTTGCTGTCACCAGTTTTGTGTTCTGTAACAAATCCGATGGCATGCATCACATTTCCGGTCACATCTACTTTGAATTAAGAACTGAACTGGACACATCTTAAAATGATGCTTCTGAAGTCAAATTACTTACAAAATCAAGTTCTACACATGGTGAACCTCGATCTGCACACTCATCCATATGGCTAAGGGTTTGAAATGATCTTCCCCGGAAGTTTCCATAAATGCTCACTTAAGGTATTAGGAAAAAATCAGGCCTGAGTTTAAGGGAGATGATTGCAAATGATTCTTTTCATTTGGTAACAAAAGCCTTACTGAGATTTAAGCAGTTCCTACTCATTGTTCTTTGCTGTGGATATAGTAAAGGCCAATGGCAGCCAGAGAGCTCTAGAGAATGGAAATGGAGATGTTTCCTATACACCACTGTTGATAATTAATGAGATACAGTGTAAAGAGGTCTAAGAGATGAGCAGGTTAATAGACAATACAAAGGACCTATAGAAAATGCATGACAAGGTAGACTTAGTATTATTCTATTACTGTATTTGATCATTATAATATGCAGGGTTTAAGAATAGCATCTATTCAATGCCTCTGAATTTTTTAATTAACTTATTTCAGAGCTCAGAAAAGGAAGTATATTAAACTCTGAGAGCATGAATAGGTTGTTGGGACCATGATGTACAACAACAGCTCTACTCATTTCCAACTCTTGCCTAGCCCTCCAGGGTTCTACACAGTCTTACTGCTCCAAGTGTGGTCCTTGGACCAGAAACATTGGCAACCCTTGGAAACCTGTTAGAAATGCAGACTCTCTGGCCCCACTCCAGACCTGATGAATCAGAATCTACAGTTTAACAAGATCTCCAGGTGATTCATATTCATGTTAACGTTTTGAGAAGCACTAGCCTCAAACTTGGCTTGCAGCTTGTATTGCTGGTGAGAATATTCCATTTCAAAGCCATCAATCACACAATAAACAGAGTAAGCATAAAAGTGCCTGCCAAAATATGCTTTGAGTAATAACATAATTTAATCAGTTATCTTGCCTATCAGTTTATAAATGTGCTTTAAAGTTTTAATGTGTGGGCAAGGACGAAACTTCCTTTTACCCTTCTAGGTTCTTCTGCCTGGTCTAATAAATAAATCAACCAACATAAAACACAGTAACAAGAGAAAAAAGCCAAATTCAGTTACATACAAATTCAGTTACATACGGGAACCTCATGTACATGAGACAGTCAGAGACCCCCACATACAAGAGGTTAAGAGACAGAAAGGTAGTGAGATATACATGACATCCTGAACTAAGGATGAGGTCAAGAGCCTTGGGGCTTCAGAGGGGAGAAAAGTCATTCATAGGATAAGAAGAAGAGTAGATGGTAATTGTTTGCTCTGCCCTATACATAGATCATAAAGAGTCATTTCTGGTGATAACTCTAATGTGTGCAAGGCCCTTAATTTACATTCTTTAAGAGAGAGGTAGAAGTTTCCTGTGAGTCTGTAGGGTCTTAACTGCCTTCAGCTCAAAATAATTTAAGTGCCAAAGGGGCACATCCCCAGGAGGCCTGTTCTGAACCCCTTCAAATGCCACTAGTTAGTCGTCTAAAACAGTCAGCAAAATTGTACAACTAAGAAGTATGCTTACCTAAGACACAAGGAATAAAATGTATTACACCACTAAACATACACAATGACAACAAAAAAGTTAACTATAAGTGGTTTGGTTTTTTTAAGGATATAAATGTTTCACCTTCATAACCTATTGCTAAAACAACCAATTTAGGCCAGGATGTGTATTTTGTCCAAGTTGAGTATTTTAGCTATTGTTAAAACAGTGAAATCAGTCCAAACTGTCAAATAAGTTATAAGTGGTCCAGCTACAGATAACATGACTAGCCCACAGGTACACAGGAGCCAACATTATATTCTTTTCTTCAACTCTCCTCTTTCAAGAACATTCATATAGGTATACTCGTGCCATATGGTTAATTAGGCTGTCATTCCATTTTGAAATCATCAAATGATTATAGAATAGATATTACTATGTACCAGGTATTGAACTAGGCTCTTTTGTATATGTTATCTCACAATTCCTCTCAGACTGAGAAAATAAACCTCTATTTTACAGAGGAGGAATAAAAGTTTCAAAGAGATTGAACAGCATGTCCAAAGTCGCATGGCAGAGAGCGGTGGCGTGAAGAATCAGGCATGGATTTGTAAACACCCTAAATGGTGCTCTATCAGGCCAGACTTCTGAAAAGCTGGAAATTGAAATGGATTAATGGTTTAATTGGCAGTTTTGAAACAGAGTCTGAATTAGAAAACAGTGCCTGGTAGGTATTTTCACAAAGGTTGGCTGCTTATAACAGGTATATAAGAGCCCAGGTTGAAACTGACATTTTTAAATACATAAGAAAATATGTCCCTTTATTTTGTGAAAAATAAATAATCCCTGTATAATGTTTTCTGTAAATACTTTAATACAATTTATTATAATCAATAAAGTTTCAAATGTTTAAAGTCTCTCTTTATTCTCTGTTTCATTAATTTCTGCTCTAATCTCTACTATTTTCTTCTTTCTGCTTGCTTTAGGTTTAGTTTTCTCTTCCTTTTCCAGTGTCTTCAAGGGAAGTGTTGGTGGTGGCAAAAACAGCACCAGGTGTTCCCGAGGAAGTCAGACTGGACCTTGGTTCAGCAACCTCGGTACTTGAGTTCTGGCCAAGAAAGAATTCGAAGCCAAGACTCAAACTATAAGAGAAAGTGTATTTAGAAAGTCAAAGAGGTACCCTGGCCAGTGTGGCTCAGTGGTTGAGTGTTGACCCATGCACCAAGAAGTCACCGGTTCAATTCCCGGTCAGGGCACATGCCCAGGTTGTGAACCCAATCCAGTAGGGGGCATGCAAGAGGCGGTCAATGGATGTTCGCTCTCATCGATGTTTTTATCTCTCTCCCCCTCTCCCGTCCTCTCTCTCTAAAATCAATAAAGAAAAAATTTTCTTTTAAAAAGAAGAAAGTCAAAGAGGTAGAAGTGAGTGATGGAAGAATTGGGCTTTAGGAAAGAAGCTACAGAGACAAAGAAGGGCCCTTGGAGCTTAGGAGAAAGAGGGAGGCAAGGGCAATGTGCCTGGGGGTAAGGAGGAGGGGGAAGGTACTGGCGTGCTCCATAGAAAGTGACACTGGGTCTCTGTCTTGAGAGTATTTATCTGGAGGTCTCAGGGGAGGATCCCAGGAGAATGGTCATCAGCTTTCCAGGTGCGTCCTTTCAGGGTCATGGTCTCTACTGACTGGCAGGCACCAGGGCAGGAGGGCATTAGTCAGTGCAGCTGGGGCAGCCTTATCTGGTTTTGCTGCTTTTCCAGGCCTGGAGCTGAAACACAACTGAGGCCTAGATGTATCTGATGGGGTTCAGAACCTACTGTCCTGGGGGCTTAATGCCTAAGGGCTATTGTCCGACCCCTTGTTCGTTCTCCCTCTAAGGGGGTCTAACTGCATGATGGCAACATGCCAGAGGTGGAAAGGTGAGGGGAGGGTCCACACCCCATGCCCAGCGATACGAAAGGTCAGGAGGTCTAAACTGCATGACCAGCAATATGCTAGGGGAGAAAAGGTTACCCTGAGGGCAAGCTTGTTTTCCCTGTTTTGCCCACTGCTAGGCACCTGAGGGTTTCCAACCCGGTGACCTTCTGTACCTACCATCCTTGCTCTGCACATGTCTAACTGTCTTCCACAGAAGGTTAGAGTATTGATTTGAGATATTTATTGTTTCCTAATAGAGGCATAGATAGCTATGAATTTCCCTCTAAGCACTGCATTTGCTGCATACCATAAATTCACTTTCACTCATCTCAAAGTGTTTTATGTCTTTTCCTTTGACCTATTTGTTATTTAGACGTGTGATGCTTACTTTCCACATATTTTCAGTTTCCCAGTTTTTTCTTTCCTGTTATTGACTTCCAATTTCATTCCACTTTGGTCAGAGAATATTATGCATTTATTACTTCTGTCCTTTTACCTTTTTTGAATTTTTTTTATGGCCTAGCATGTAACCTATTCTAGAGAATGTGCCATGTGCACTTCAGAATGTGGATTCTGCTACTGTTGGGTGCAGTGTTCTCTAGACATCTGCTAGTGTAGCTGGACTTCAGTGTGGTTCAAGTCTCCCATCTCCTTGTTGATCTTCTGCACAGCTGCTCTGGCGGTTCTGAGTACGGAGTATTGAAGTTTCCGACTATTGTAATTGAATTATCAATTTCTCCCTTCTTTTGTGTCAGTTTTCACTGCATGTATTTTGGTGCTCTATTCGGTGGTGCATCTATGTTTTTAACTGTTAAATCTTCCTGAATGAGTGGACATATTTTAATTATAGAACTTTCTGATAAACTTTACCCTAACAGTGAAGTGAAAGAAGCCAGTCAAAAAGACCACCTATTACGTGACTGTGATCATATGCAATATCCAGAACGGGGAGATGGACGGAGGTGGGACGTCAACGCGCTGCCTAGGGATGGAGACGGAGTGGGGTGCAGTGGGGCTGACGGCTGAGGGTCAGGGTTTCTTCTTCAAGTGATAAAAATGCTCTAAAATTGACTCTGATGTTGGCTACACACACATCTGTGAATACACTAAAAATCACTGTATTGGACACTTTGAATGAATAGTAAGGTATGTGAATTATATCTCAATAAAGCTGTTTTTAAAAGACAATATGTCACTTAGTTTGTGAAAAGTAAATAATCCTTACTTTATGTCTCCTGTAAATATCTTAATTTATCGGTTATTTAGAGAAAAGTGTACCTGCAGTGAGGAAAATATTCAAGAAATGGTGAGCAGAATTTACTTTTTTGACCACTAAGGGGAAAAAAATGTAGTCTGGGGGGAGGGAGGGATTTGGGCATGGAAAAACCAGAGGATGATTTAAGACCCTAATTGGAAATTAAGGAACCCTTATTTAAATAACAAATGTAAGAAAACTTAAGGCATTAACTACTGAAAGGCTACCATTTCTATCAGAGCACAACCCAT